GCATCGTCTTGTTTGCACATCTGGTTTGCCCCATTTGGTTTGTACCTGTTCCCTTGCCACGCAGGAGCATCCGGGAGCTGGGGTGCCCCCCCCCAGCAGCTCCACAGAGGAAAGGAAGCCAGCCCTTAGCTTGGTGAGGCAGCCAGGCACTCTGAGGTAGGAGTCTTTGTGGTTGCTCTGGGGCTGGCCATGCAGAGGAGCTATCTTTATGGGAATGAGTGGCTGCAGTTGGGTTTTCTTTCTTTCCCACAGGCTGGGGTAGTAGTGTGGTACCAGGGCGTGGAGCAGGGCATCCTAGGAAGTGGTGACATCTCCTGGTTCCCCCTCTCATTAGCTCCTGACCCTACTCCTAGCTCTCAGCCTCACAGGTGTCTGCTGTAGTGGACATCTATCCTGGAGTACTTCCAGGGTGAAGTGCATGGCTCTTTTCTGTCACTTGGTGGGAGGGACAGCATTGCCCATAAAATTGTGGCCACATGCTTCTGAAACACTGAAGCTTTCTGGGAAAGGAAGTGGGGAGTGAGCTGGCCTGGGCATTTTATAAGAGCTGTGGGCAGGATGGGCCCAGAGGAGGGCTACAGGGCAGCAGAGTCCTCAGTCTCCCTGTCTGCAAAGAATGAAGCAGGACCAGATGTCTTCTCAGATGTCTCAGCACCAAATGCTTAAGGAGGCTTAGTGTTGATGGGTCTATCTGGAAAACTCTGGCTACTCTTAGTGCCCTCTGCTCTGGTGGCTCACCCTGCTTGGTTTACCTTAGTTTATGACCATTCCCTTTGGGAATGATGCCATGTGAGCACTATGCCAAACCTGGCATGTCCTAGGGTCAGAGAGGTAGCCTCGTCCCCTTTATGTCCTTGCGATCTCTTTCTCGCTAACCTGCCAGCACCCCGGGGTGGCTACTGCTTCCCATATCTCCACTTGCACACCCCTGGGGGTTCCAGGCATACATGTGGGGAAGCATGGGAGCTTTGACAGCAAATAAAACTTGGCTCCACATCAATTTTGGTATTTATTAATAATCAGATCTCTAATTTATTGGAGGCATACTCATGCCAGACACTGTGCCAAGTTTAATACAATAACTGTGAGGTATCAGTTACCGTTAAAACTCAACTTTGGTAAATGTCAACTTCATACCCGTTTTACAGATGAGAAACTGAGGTTCAAGGATACTCCACCCACTTTAAAACTTTTCTCAAAAGCCCCCCCTTTTTTCTGGGGGCTGAGCACTTAGACCCATCTTACTTAAAGTAACAGTTTGCCTTTACCCACCCAGTGTTTATGTCAACAGGGAAGGAGGTATGTTCCCTGTCATATTCACAGATGAATATCTGAAGCCATGGAAGAACACACAGCACGTAGCAGGTATGTAGTTGATCATGAATGAACATTTGGTTATACAACTCCCTTGGGTGCAAATTGCCTGGAGATGGGCAGCACAAGGCTTGAGAACCCAGGCTGTAGAGCACAGAGTTTGGGGTCCAAAGTAAAGCGTTTGCTACCCCAGTGGGTTGTGACCCTGTGTAAATTATTCTTCCTGAGCCTCAGTTTCCTTGGTGATAGAGTAGGCTGGTAGCATTTGCCTTGGGGTGAGGATTAATGCAGACACACACGTAAAGTTCTTGGCATATAGTGAGCATTCTGTCAATGCTAGCTGCTCATCGGAGGATGCTCCTGTGTCTTCTTGGCTCTCATTCCCTCTGACCGCTTCACTGCCCAACAGAAGTGCTTGAGCGGGCAGAGTTGATGAGGGTGGGGGACAGTGGGATTGTCTATCCAGTTAACTAGCCCTAGCCACCCTTCTTCCTCCTCCTTCCAGGATGCGCTTGTTGCCAAGGAGACACAACATCGGCCTTTGGCAGGTTTCTGACTCCCCGTGGCTTGGCCACTGGCTTTACAGAAGGAATGAGACACTGGTGACCATGGGCAGGCAGATCAGGTGAGGGATTGACCATCCTGGGCTGGGAGTCTGGCGGGGTCTGGAATCCCTGGTACCCTGAGATAATGAAGTGTTCTCTGTCTCCACATTGCTCTCGGAGGCTGTGGTGGAGTTCCTGCTTGGTCCAGCAGCATTGGTCGGATGTGATTCCCAAGCCCTGGGAGGGGGCCATAGCAGCCAGAGTGACTCATAATCAGACTCCTGGCCTTCGGAATGGCACCTTCCCAGAGTAGGGCCAGCGACTGTTGTGATGGAGGTGGCCTGGTGTGGGATTCTCCACGTTGCACTGGAGAAAATGGCCAGGCTGGCCTGACCAGGATGCTGTCCACACGGGTGTGGCCTGCTCTTCCTTCAGTCTTAGGAGTGGCTTCTTCAGATCTCAGCTCTCTGGGGACTCTGTTCCTCCCTTCCCACCTGGCCCTTGACTCTGGGTAACATAAGAGACTGTGGCTTTTGCACAAACCAGTAGACTACCTGGACAAAGTGGGTGGGCACAGCAGGTAAGCATGTAGGTAGGAGAATGAGGCCATCCCACCTTTGCCCGGCCCAGCTGTGGGATCCTAAGGAGCCACTTAGCTTATCCGAGTAACGAGGATAATTATAGCACTTTCCTCTAGGGATTGCTGCAAGGATTAAGCCAGTTGGTGCTTGTGAGGCTTCCATCCGACCCAGACAGGCTGGGCTCACTCACGGAGAGCTATTATCGTCATTCTGAGGGGGAACATTCCTGTAGGAGGCTGCATCAGACAGAATAAAAGTGCTATTATTGTTGTAGTTGTTATTTTGGGGGTTCTCTTGAAAAAGAAAAGTGGGGCCTGGCTTTGTTGGAGTGGATCATGAGTTATTCACTTTCTCTGAAGGTCTTTTCCATTTTTTAATTTTTACAACTTCGATCATAACCTAAATATGATGTCAGGAAGCCAAGTGGGGCCTACGGGACAGAAGACAGGTGTGTGCATGCGTTCATGCGCGTGCATGCGTGCGTGCAGGTGTGTGTGTCTATGTGTGCATGGGGGCAGTGAGGGTTCAGACGCCATGAACCTCAGAAAGAGGAAGCAGAAGAAGATGGGGTGGGAACACTGGCCCGGCCAACCTGACTGAAGCTTTGCACCCGCACATCTGTGGCTGATAATACTCAGGCAGAGTAGGTCTGGAGCCGGAGGCACCTGGATTCCTGCCTAGTGGTGGGCCCTGGGCTTGGGGGCAGTCAAAATTAAGTTGCTTCAGAGTCTGCCTGTCCTCTGTAGAGTTTAGTCTTGTATTTCCCCCCTCCACTATAAGCATCTTGGGTACAGGAGACTTGACCTTCTCACTGGAGGGAGCTTGTCACCTTTCCCATGAGAACACCCAGGAGGTTCTCAATGAACACTTGTTGAATGAACTCGTGGGTGAATGAATGTGTGGGGTTTGCTTCTCTGTGCAGTAACCTGCGGATCTAGCTAGACTTTCAAGAAAGCCCCTGATGGCCCCCCTCCAACCCTTATATTTGGCGTTTCCATCTGGCTGGAGGGAAGGCAGTGTGTGTGTGGGGGTATCAACCACGTAACCTTTACTCACCATTGTAAACCTAGAGCCCCGCTCACACCCTGTTGCAGAGCAGGGGTTCAGACAATAGTTGCTGAATGAATGAACTACACGGAAACCCTTCTAACCCTGCATTTGTTCTTAAACAGTTAAGGAGTCTGGAACATGACTCATCTGACCCACCCACCAGGTAGAGTGAAATGGCACAGTCAGACCCTGTGACCTGAAACTCAGTGTGCCAGGTAGCTCAGGCATCCTTTGAAGCTGGCTGTCACGCTGAAGCTCCTGGTGTCCTTGGCACGCTGTCTCGCTAGCTTTTCCTAACCCCCATTTCTCACGCTGGTGTGTGTGGCCAGTCAATGGAACTTGCTGTCTTGTCATTTCCTGCTGTCGCTGTATTTGCAAGCAGTCTCCGTGGACCACAGGCCTTCCTCATCTCGAAATCTTAGATTCACTTGTTCTTTTCTGAAGAGGCATCAGCTTCTGAGGTGAACAGGGGAAAAGTCTGAGCAGCCAGTGGGCGCCACTTGCCCTCGGCAAGATGGTGGGGAAGGGCTGCAGGCCTGTCGTGGGGGCAGCTGGCTCTGTGACCTCGGGCAGGGTGACTCCTACCACTTGGTCTCTCCAAGTCTCCTGTCTGGGGCCCTCTCAGATCTTTAATTCCCTGTCGATACACAGGGATGGTTCTGGTGGAGGTGGAGTGATTTTTAAGTTGTTATGTGCTTCCCAGGGAAATTGTAGCTGTTTTCATTTTAAAACTTTTCATTTAAGCTCCAGTTCCGAGTGTAAAAACAGCACTAGCTACAAGGAATTCATATTTTGTGATTTATGGGGAGTATTATTATGGTATCAGAAAGGGGTAGTTTTTTTGTTAAATATGTTTTTAAAAGGCTTGCTGCATTCTTAAGCATGGTTTTATTATATCTTTAAGCGACTTTTTCTCCCCCATGAAGAATATACTTGTGATTTATAATTTGCCTTCGCTACCAGAGCTGGGCGAGAGCATATTCTGTGGTGTTACATCATCCCTAAAGAGTGCTCTGGCTGTAGGCACTTCCAGGCTCCTAAGCATAGTGCAAAAGCTGGGCTGTTAAGTTCTTTCTAGAAACCAGGGCTGCTGGAGATAAGCCTAGTCACACAGGGAGGGGTTGGGGAGAAAGGGGGATGTATGGATGTCCTAACCCAACTCTCTTGTCATTTACAGAAGGGGATGGGGACCCAGAGTGGGGATGTGAATTCCCCAAAGTGAACTGCCCAGGCAGGGGTCTCTGTGTCTGCCCGTTGCTCCGCCCACACGCCTTGCCTGGTCCTCCAAGTGTAAACATTATTTCACTCACCCCACCACAGGGCAGGTGCTGGAGCTGCTGCTCTCCTTAGGTCCAGCCTTGTTTTCACATACCCGGGGCCACAGCTGATTCAGAGTGCCAACCAGCAAGTTCTGGCTCGCGTGCCCCTCCCCCACTAGCTAGGCGCTAACATCCAGTAGAGAGTTTATTGGCATAATTTCTCCAGAAAAGAGGCTGGAAGACTCAGCAAGTTCAAATGTAAGCATTTTTATCAGCGGTCCCAAAGGGCCAGCCTTTCCGTCACCACCACCAACCCAATAAGGCTTTCAGAGTCCGAGGGAATCAGGTTGTACAAAGCAGCAACAGCACAGGCCAAACGAGCAGGCACAGGATACATTACCGCATCTACCGAGCAAGCAACCACCCGGAGGCCATCTTTGTTAAGGGCGAAATAAGAAGCTCACAAAGCTCTGTGACTGTCTTGGTTCTTCGGGAGGAATGAGGGAAGGGGTAGAGGAGGTACTCTCCTTTTCTGTTTTCTCAGAAAACATGCCAAGAAAGGCTTCACAAACAGCTAGGGTCGCACCAGCATCTCCCAAACTTCCCTTTGCAAAGATGGCCACCCCTGCTGTCCACCGGAAGGAGCACAAGGCAGGTTCTATTGGGTGTGGAGAGAGGTAGGCAGCAGGAGAGAGATAGTTTTCCACAAAGGTTGTTAGATTTTTTTTCCTTTATTGATGGGATTTAAAGTGCATATAACTGAAGGCAAAGTCCAAGGCCTAGAGGAAGGTATGAGGCTTGAGAGAGAGGCTCAGAGATTCTAAAGGCAGCCGAAGAATACCCACCTAAAAAGGCCACTTGAGCTGCAAAAAACGAAAGGGCAGGGAATAGAAAACGGGGAAGAGGAAAGGGTTGTTGGGAGGAAGGAGTTTGGGAGGGGGGAGAAGACAAACACTAGTTCAGAAATCCTGACACAGGTGACTCGGAGGAGCTACTTTCTACCCCGGCTATGGAAACATGGCGGACCTCCAGGGCGGAACACTCGCCTCAGGAGATGCGAGTAGCGTGGAAACCACAAAACCAGGGCACAGCACCCCAGGGCCCCTCAGGTGGGGTAGTAGTGGTGGGGCCTCTCTGAGCCTGACACAGTCTCCCCTGAAGAACTAGTGTCAGTCTAAGAGGCTCTGTCTATGCAGGGGAAGCAGGCCTCAGGCCCACCCAGACACCCTGCACCCATCCCCCCAGGGAAGGGCGTGTCTCCTCTGCTGCTGCATGTGGCCAGAGTTCCACTTACCCACACAGGCTGTGCCATCCTCATTGGGCTCATAACCCCGATTGCATCTCTTGTTGGTCCGGCATCTGTAGCTCCCATAGGTGTTGACACACACGGGCTTCTCTCGAGGGCATACGAACGGGAACTGGATGCATTCGTTGGTGTCTGCAAGGCAAGAAGAGCCGCTCACCAGGGAGAGGTGGGCAGTGTGTCCTAGCTTAGGGTCTGTCTGCCCACCTGCCTGACCCCTCCTCCCGCCACCTTGCTGGGCCTGCCTCTCTACTTCGGTGCCCTTGGATAACTCCTCTCGTCTTTGACCCCTGCGTATGGGAGACCTCATGCTTGGCCCTGAGCCCTTTTGATATGCTACACTTTGTCTTTAAATGTGGGTCACTGTGAACTTCCTGCCTCCAGCCGCAGCTTGTCCTTTGGGCTCCAAGCCCACGAATCCGATCACCAATGACCTACATGGACGTTCCACCTGGATGTCTAATACAGCCTCACACTGATTTCCCTCAGCCCTCAAGTCTCTTCTGTCCCCTCTTTCCGTCTTCCACAGCTCCGTCAATGCCACCACCAACTGCTCAGCCACGGCAGCAGAAAATCAGAGTCATCGCCCCATCCTCCCCTCTCCTCACCCCAGGGTGCAAGCCACTCTGCCCCAAAGCACACCTCCTATCTGTCCACCTTCCTCTCTCTGCCACCACCCTAGGCCCGGCCCGCATGGTCTCTTGCCTGGATTTCTGCAGCGGCTGCCTTACTGGCTTCCTGGCTTCCATGCTTCCCTCCAAGCCAGCCTGCAATTCAGCAGCCAGAGTGATCTTTTAAAAACGTGCATCGCATCAGGTCACTCTCCTGCTTAGCTTCCGAGGGCCTAAGACAAAGGTCTAGACTCCTGGAGCTTCAATCCTCTCCTTGACCTACCCCTCTGCCTCCTCTTGGTCATAGCGGCACCCTGACGGCCCCGCAGCAAGCTCACGTCCTTTGCCTTCTGTCTTCCCGTGTCGGGAAAGCTCTCCCTCAGCTCTCTCTGGGGCTGGTCCCTCTAATCCTTGTGCTCTCGACTTAAAAGTCCCTTCACCAGTGGCTGTTTCTGACTTCTCCGCCCAGAGTCCCCCAAGAGCACCTTGCTTACAGGATTCCTAAACCACTTTCGCACATCCTGTAGTCCTGTGTTTGAGGTCTGACTCCCTCCACCAGGATGTGAACCCCTCAGGTAAGGCACTGGGCTGCATCCCTAGGGCACGCCATGGTGCTTGGTACCATGTAGGGGCCTGCTGAGTGGCACAAAGAGCTGCTGAGTCAGTGACCTCTAAGGGTCCTCTTAGCATGCAGAGAAGACTCCAAGGCTTTATGTGCCTGAGCTGTCCATTTATCATGTGACCAGACTGGGGACATGGACCGTATGTATGGGGGAGTCATGGCTTCCTCCAGCCACCCTAACCCTGGCGCCTGTCTATACTTCCTCATTTTGGAATCCTATGTCCAGGCAGCCTCCTCCATGGGCACATGGGCACAATGACTTCTCTTTCTGTGGCTGTCCTACTCATCATCCCCCAGGTCCCAGACTGACCTCAATTTCTCTAGACTGCCTTCTGGGATGTACCCCAGATAGCTTAACACCTCCCTGGGTGCTTCCCTGCTCATTCTGTCCCTGGCCCCATGTATGGTTGTCAGCTGTTCATATGTGAGCCACTCTATTGGCTGTGAGCTCCACAGGAGTGGGGCTGTGTCTAGTTTTCTCTGGGTCTGGGGAAGAAAGAATCCTCGTCCTAAGTCCTCATTGCAAATCATCATGGTGTAAGGCTTTGGGTTGGACTTCTTCGGGACGCTGGTCTGCTAGTATCCTTCTTCATAGCTTACTGGGAGACTTGAGACAGTCATGAGACCCTCACTGACCTGGCATCCGGAAGCTACCAGCCTCCCCTGTGCTGTACCGGGCTTTACTGTGATCATATTCCACACTCTGTTGTGCCCAAATGCCTCCCACAGTCAGCTTCACCTCCATGCCTGTCGGCCCCCTTGCCGGCTGCTCCTCAGGCTGGCCATAGCATGTTCTGCTCTGCTTCTGGCAGGTGAAGCCTATCCGTTACCACTCAGTGTCTGTGTGGCACTGAGGTTTGCTCTGATATCCGTGGCAGGCAGGCACTGCCAGTGCCCAGAAGTGAGGTGAGTCAGCCTGCAGTTGCTAATGTCGCTCTCACCTTGGTGGCTGTCTTGGCACCTGGGTCCCTAAGGACCAATGACACCTTCCTCTTCCTATCTTTCTAAGCTCCATCTGCATCTTGGGCCTTGGTAGGCCAGGTTGATAGTCCCCAGGGAGATCCCAGCCTCTGCCCCATCCTCTGGGGCCTATTGGCGACTCACCCATGCAATGGCCATTGTCCTGCTGGGAGAATCCTTGTCCGCACTGCAAGGTGGCAGAAGCAGAGACGCTTGTGAGTTGAGAGGCCTCACTCTAGGTCCCCTCCTTGTCACAGCCGCAGAGCGGCTGTCACCCTGATTACAGCATGAGAGATGCTCTCAGCCTGGGCCTGAGGGCAGCCCCTCCCCCTTATCCTGCCTTGCACTAAGAGTAGAGATGGTGTTGGGGGTGGAGAGGGCAAGAACATGTAATTCAAACTCTCCCTGTACTTGAGATCTATGTACTGAGATAGACCTGAAAATGGACCAGCACTGGGCGGGCCCTTGAGAGCCTTTTCCAGAACCCTGGTTTATGGTCTGAGCCTCATCTAAGGACAATAGGAGGTCTCTCCAGGTATTTGGAGAGCAGTAGGAGACTAGGGATCAGTTCTCAGTCCACTGTACAGCTCAGCTGGCTATGTAACCTTAGCTGGTGTTGGGTTCACTCTCTGAATCTCTGGTTTCCTCCTCTGTAAAATGAGTACAAAACTCGTTGTCTTGCCAATCCCCCAGGATTCTGTGAGAAGCTAAGAGACGTGTTGCAAAACTACAAAAGGAGCCACCATCTCTGTCATTCTAGAGGACAAGCCTAGAGATTTACCCCTAGGATCATGGGTGGTGGTGGTGCCTTTTTATTTTATTTATTTTTTTACTATGAGGCCAGAGGCCATGGCCCACCTCTAATGGGGCTGTGTCCTGAAGTGTGTCCTCGTCCCGAGGGTAGAGGATCTCCAGCACTGAGTTCATCTCCCCGCTGGCCACACTGCGGCTCACCATCTTGCCATCTGGCCACGTCACCTCCACGCTGCTGGCTTCATCCCTTCCTGTTGGAGGAAGGAGAGGGTCAGGAGCAGCGGAGAGAGGGCCTCTTGGAGTACTGGCATAAGTTTGTTAACACAGATAGTAACTAACGCACCCCTCCGAGGGCTGTAGGAATGAGTAAGATAGATTAGAGGCAGCTCCTCCTTGGGGCCACACTGTCCAATCGACAATTCAGCAGTGATGGAAAGGCCTGGTGTCTGCCCTGTCCGCTGCACTAGCCCCTGGTCACATGCAGGATGACAGCGACTGAAGAACTGAATTTAACATTTTCCTTAATTGAAATTAATTTACACCTCGACAGCCACGTGATGCCAGTGGCTACCATCCTGGAGAACTTTTATTCTAGCCAACAGACCATGCAGTAGGAGGTTGAATTTGGGGAGCTGTAAGGCTTGATGGTAAGTAGGTTGAATTCAGAGCCAGGGGTTCAAAATCCTGGCTGGGTCACTTGCTTGATTCGCTGAAAGAACACGACGGGGAGCAGGGGGCTAGGAGTCCTGGGGACAAGTCCTAGTTCTGCAGCCAACTTGTTGTGACCTCCTGTGCATGTCTCTGATATTTCTATTTATGGAGTGCTTCTAGGAGCCAAGTCCCTCTTTCTTTTTCCACTGGGAATGCCTCCTTATGGGTTTCCCTCTCCATCTAGGAGGCAGGCAAACAGATGAACAAGCAAATCGTGTCAGATATCAACAAGCTTTGTGATGAAAAGAAAAGGAGGACTTTGGGGTAAAGACCTGGGAACTGGCCAGAGTCCCGTTCAGTGGCCAGGGACAAACTCCTGGGGAGAAGGCACTTGAGCTGAGCTGTAAATACAGACCTAGGAAAGGCAGAGGTAGATCTGAGTCGCTTACAAAAGATACCGGTGAAGCTCATACAATGTCCCTAGTGAATCCATCATGCACATCTCTAGAGAGGCTTGCTACATCAATGGCAAAAAGTGGGTTGGGAAGACTGGGCAGGTCTCCAGCCATTGCTAAGGTGTGCTCAGCTCTTTCCTAAGGAAACAGGCTAGCCTGTGGCAAAATCTGGCTAATGATGTGGTGGGGGGTTTGATGGCCCTCACCTGTGGGTCCTTCTCAGGTCATAAGGGAAGACAGGCAGTGCTTGGGACACTCAATGAAGAGTGCGGGGACAGTCGTGGGAGGGGTCAGAGGACAGAACTTGTGCCCACAGCTCTAATCCTCCCATAGATCCCCTGACTTTGGTCGGCCCAAGCTTCTGTCTAGTCAGATGTGGCTTCTCAGCATGCCTGACTGCCACCCCACACCCCCAACTCCTAGAGCAGGGGCGGGAGAGAGACTGAAGAGGGCCAAGTATAGATCTTCTGTTTTGAAGCAGAATCGTGAGGCCCATGAATTTGGCGTTTTTAGGGTGTGCAGTGCCCAAATTAAGTGGCACATGTGGAAAGCAAACATTTTTCCATTAAAAAAGGAGACAAAAGCAAGGGTTTCTCACCTATGCCAACAGAACAGCTCCATGAATACATTTCACAGCCTGATCGAAGCCACAAATAACTCAGAGAGTTGAGGAATATTCATAGGCTCAAATTTGCAGGCTGCATGGGGCCTGTAGCTCTAAACCAGGTTCTCTCTCCCTGAATGAGGGCTGTTGGATGAGTAAGCCATCCTTCCTGGGCCTCAGTTTCCTTGTCTGAAACTTGGAGGTGCAGGCTCGAAGGCCCACTGTCTGGTGCCGTACAACCTCTCTCCCCTGGAGTGTGAATACTGCCCCATGGATGATCTATTGCTCTTGGCACTTTTGTCAGCATCAGCTCTTGGACAGGCGGGTAGTAACGCCGAACACTGACAGCGTGCTCAGACCAGACCAAGTGCTTCATGGTGTGAACACATCCGTTCCTCACATCTTTATGTGGAAGGTGTTGTCCACACAATCTTCATCTTGGAGAACACTTAGACCTGGAGAGGCCAAGGAAATCACCCAGCCACTCACCGAAGAGCCACTGTCTGATCCGCCCTTGTTACACCGCCCTTCCCATACATCAAATGCTGGGGGTGGGGGGCTAGGATTCAGCATTGAGCAAAAAGGACCCAAGCAAGCTGAAGACAGCCGATTGTTGTGGGGATAATGAGCAAGGAGATGCCGTAACAAGTGTGGAAGGGATTGTGACGGGACTGGTGCCACTCGGCGAGGACGGCGGGCTGTTCCACTTGGTTGTACCGGAAGAATGAACTTGTGAGGCAGACAAGAAAAGCATACGAAGCTGGGCTGCAAGGACTCGGGTGTTTGAAGAGGCAGAAGTTCAAAGCTGGGGAAGCAGAGCACAAGGGGTGTGCGGAGTAGGCTGGAGCCTAGGGAGGAGGACTTTGGAGCCTTTGCACCTGCAAGGCAGGCACTCTGTGCCCATTCTCTGGATTTAGACACTGAGGTCTGGTGAGGTAGGAAGTGACTTGGAGGTAGCTGAGCTAGTGTTGGAACCCGTCCTCCGGTCCTTGGACAGGTAGGTAGATTCTGTGGCTCTAGGCTGCTGGCCAGGCGTCTCCAGTATTTTCAAAGCTGTACAACTGCAGGGCCTGTCCCCAGCCTCTGAGGTGAGGCGGCCACACTGCCAGGCCTATGTGCAGGGAGGGGTCTGCCATTACCCAGCAGAGACATAGGTCAGGAACAGCAGGGAGTTACCTCTGACAGCTTGGAAAGGACAAAGGCCAGGGAGCCACAAGGTATTGTGCTTTTCAGAATTACAAGCAAAACAGATGGTGGGAATACAGTTGGTGGAATATTTTTGCACTTTAATAAAGCCATTTTTATGTGGGCCACTGAATTTTCTTTCCCTAAATGAGCACCAGCCGGTCTGGAGGCAGCTCTGAGTCACTTACAAACAATTAACTGAAATGAAGGGGTGCGTGGGTGGGGGTGGGATGGTATCAATGCGTGGGGTTGGGAGAGCTTGAGTGGGTGACCACAGCAGGGGCGCTCGGGGGGCCAAGTGGGTTAGCAGTACTTGTTTTCATTTGCTGGGTTTGGCTGTACACTGGTTCAGCCTACTGGCACTCAGGAAATGCAGCGGCAGCCCTGTGCGGGCTGGGTGCGCAGTATTCAACACCATAAACAGAAAGGTTTATTTATGAAGCCAGCAGGCGGTTTGCACCCAGGAGGGGGTAGGGACAAGCCAGGGCAGCTGTGCAGGAACTGCACAGTGTGCTTAGGGTTCCCTGGAGCAAGGACAGGGGCTGCTGAGGGGGAGCAAGACCCACAATGCCCTGCACAGCTGAGTGAGTCCTCAGGGGACCCCTGGAGAACACGGCTGGGAAAGCTCCCTGAGTTTTTTACTGCCCGGTGCAGCACAGCTCAGGTTTCTAGGGAGGAAGGTGAGAAGAGACGGAAGGTTCTGAACCGTCTGGCCTTATTGCTGTTGCACAGACCTAGTAAGCCCTGGAGCACTGGGAGAGGCAGCGGCAGGCAGGCCTCGGCACGTGCAGCCGGGAATCTGATGCACCCGGTGTGGACAGGAAGGAGGGGCTGCCGTTGTATGCATCCGTGTGTACTCACCTCCGTGTTCACACACCAACACCAGCTCACCACACCTTGCGGCAACATCAGAGAGAAGCAGCCGGGGGTGACTCATGGAGGGAGGACCACCAGGGAGCAGGTTTGTTTAGGTCCAGCCAGAACCGTATGCCAGTAGGGCTTCTTGCAGCCCTCTCCCCTCCAGGTCCAGTCCCTGGACACAGCCTCACCCCTACTCTGCCTCACCCCTTCTCAGCCATGCAGAACCCCAGGGCCAGCCTTTCTCGATCCAGACAGCCCCCTTCTCACCTCCAACTGCACAGAACTGGAACCATCTAGCTGTCCATCAACAGGGGACTTGGTAAATAAGTTATGAATGCTGCCACCCAGTGAAATACTCTGTGGCGCTGGAGGGAAATGAAAGAGATGCGCACCGACTTGGAGAGATGGTCAGGCGTTCGCTGTTCAGGGGAGGGAAAGAGCAAGTGGAGGAAATGCCATCATTTCTTTTTTAAAGAAACAAAGCTAAGTAGTGTGTGCACCTATAAATGCGCCCCTGTGTGTGTTGCATGGGATAAAGGCTTATTGAAGCTTGGCCTCGTATTTGAAAAATTCTGCTTGTCCCTTCTCCTGCCCCTCCCCAGCCCCCTTTCTCTGCTTGGCATTTTCTTTCTTTGTAGCACCTAATACAATCTTAGCATGGTCTATTTCACCTATTTATTCTGTTCATCATGTATTCCATGCTTTCCTTCCCACTAGAGTACGGGGTGCTCAAGGCAAGGCCCTTGATCCACACACTGCGGGGCAGCTCGTAGGTGTTCATTGAGCATGAACTGAATTGAATCCAATGGTGCTGGAGTGAACGAGGAGATGTTTGTGTTTTTTTTTTTTACTTAACGTTCCAAGCACTGTGATGAGGTTGTGGGTGATTTCTACTTCTTTCTATGATTTTTTTGTATTGTCTCATTTTCCTATAATCAACACACATTGTTCTCACACTCTAGAGAGATGTTTAAGAACATGCGCTGTGGGGCTGCTGTCCCTGCACACATCTTCGTACCTCTGCTCTGGCTCTGGCTTCCCTGGACCTGCCAGGACACCCCCTCTGTCCACCGTGCCCTGTCCAGCCTCCCTTGGAGACCCTGGGGAGCTTGGCTCAGCCCCCACTTTCCAAGCTCTGTTCCTGTCCCTCCAGCCAACTACTCCCACCACTTGGCCTTGGTTCAAGCTAGCCTGGTCTCTGGAATGCTCTCATCCCTGCCCCGCTTCTAAGTCCCTACTTTCTTGCTAACCCTCCTCCTAGTCTTCTCAGTTGGCCAAGCTGTCCAGGGCGAGGATGATCTCCCTTGCTTCACCTCTCCAGGCTCCACATCAGTGCAGGATGCATCCCGGACATGCATCAGTGTGGCATGCATCCAGGATAGACCTGCGCGAGACTTCCTGGGTTACCCAGCAGACCGGCAGCATTTCTTCCTGTCTCCTTCCCTATGTCTCCGCCTCTCTTGCCGTCTGCTTCTGCCCTGTTTCTCTTCCTTTCCTCTTTTTTTCTCCATCATTCCTAACACCTGGTTTCCCCACAGTCTCCTTCTCCACTGGTTCCCCCATCAGTCAGGAAGGACAACTATGCTCAGCCCAGAAAGAGCCTGTTGTAGTCCTAAGGGGCCCCAAAGAGGCAGGGATGGAGCTGGCCTGCCTCACTGTCCAGGCTTCTGGTCTGGTCCCCAGAGCTACTCTGATGTCTGAGGGTCACTGTTGGTCTCAGGCAACTAGCCAAGGTCTGTTCCTGAGAGTAGATGTCCTTCTAGCATCCTTCTAGGAAGGGAACCCTACAAAAGAGGAGCCTGATAGCGGCAGGGTGGCGAACCTTGCAGCAACTTGGTTCAAATCAACAGCACATCCAATTTTTTTTGCCCAGTATTGAGTGCTGGCATCAGGATGGGTCCCTGGCCAGGTGCAGTGTGTGCAGAATGGATGGCGACCGGCTCCCAAGCACCCTGGATCTCATTAAATGATCCTGCAAGCTGCTTAGTTGAGGAAGCGGACTCTTCTGGTGGTGACACATTCTGGAGAGACAGGACCCAGGGACACCCCTAATACACAAAACAGCAGACAATCCACAGGGTGTGGGGCCAGACAGCCTCAGCTCAGCTCTGCTGTTCTATTCTGGGAGCCTCAGTTTCCTTTTCTGTCCAGTGGAGCAGGGTTGACATCTAGCTTGATAAACATTTCGCCTTTGAAGCCACAGTGGCCACCTTGGTACTTGAGTGGCCTTCCGGGATGCCCACAAGCCGAGGGGATGCGCACATCAGGAAGAAAGGGGCAGAGAAGCCACCGGGAGGTGGAGTCATGGAGCCCAGCAATTCAGTTTCTAAGGAGGGGTCCAAATCCAGTCTCTCCCCACCCTCTGGAGCTGTGAGCTGGTCAGTGTGTTTAAACGTAACTTCAGCTTTCTGGCCTGTGAAGTATGGACTATGGTTCATAATTCATCAAGTTTCCAGGAGAACTGATGAAGAATTTGGGCAAAGTCCTGCATACTCGAAGCATGCTGTAGATGTCAGCTACTGTTAGTTTGCAAGCAAGAGGACTCCATGTTTAAAAGTCAGCTTGTACCTTTAGGGCCTGCAAAGCAAATGGCTGCCCTAGGAGTGCCCCAGGCTCAAGCTAACCAGTCTGAGCTCAATAGCCAGGGAACATGCTCATATAGCTAGGCCCTGGGTCCCCTAAATATTTATTGCTTCTTTCTCAGACTACATAAATATTATGTGTTCCCTATAAAAACCAGAATGCGCACACATATACCAGAACATATGGTCGAAAATACAAACCACATTTTCAGGCCAGCCTGAGTTTGAATCCCAGCGCTGCCATTTGAGAATCATGAGCTCATGGGCAGGCTCCCGTGAACAGTAGGATCCACACTTTCCTCGTTTGAGAGATGGAGACAGCAAAGCCCATCCGAGGGTACTCGTGAGAACTGAGTGCCCAGCGCTCTGTCCAGGACGAGTGGCAGTCTCTGTGGTCATCGAGCCACTCAGATGGAATCGCTTATGCTCTCTGCACTGCCTTTCCTTAGTTTTTTTTCTTCTGTGCAATATGATGTATGCTTAATATTAATGCCGCTATATATTTATCGATTAGGGAACATACTGTCTAATCTTTTTATATTAAAATCCTATCATGTCACGAGGTGCTAACACACGGGAAAGCATCTGGTTAGAGCCGGGGAATTTTAGACTCAAATGCTTTAACTCTTGGCCCGCCTCTTCCTCGGAGCTCCTCAGTCTTTTCCCCATTAATTGTAATCCCTGCATACTCCCTGAAGAGTTTCCACATCTCCCTCTAACCTCCAGGTTTTAAGAAACAGTTTATTTTGAAATAACTGGAGACCTAACAGGTCGTGAGGATGGCACGGAGGGATTCATGCAGACGGCCGCCCCAGCAGTCACAGCTTGCTTCATGACTGTACCACACTGAACTCAGGGCTTTGCCATGGGAACAGGTGTGTGGACGGCTCTACGTCAGGAATCACACATTAGAATCATGTAGCCACCACCCCTGAGACACTCACTGCACAGACGCCCTTTATGGTTTACCAGCCCACAACACCTCTAACCTGGAACTGCCATCTTCAGCACCATAACTTTGTCGTTTGGGGAAGGTGACTTTGACGATGAGACTTCTTTACTCACCAAACACCTCTTATTGCCAAATCACATTCAATAGCACCGATGTATTACAGCGAACTGAAACATTAGCCTACCAAAGGACGCTTGCATTATTTCTGTTTTGTTTGTTTGTTTGATACAGAGTTTCTCTGTGTAGCCCTAGCTGTCCCAGAACTTACTCTGTAGACCAGGCTGGCCTCAGACTCAGAGATCCACCTGCCTCTGCTCCGAGTGCTGGGATTAGAGGTATGGGGCACCACTACCCAGAATATTTTTTCTTATTTAAAAGAATCCACCCAACAGGCAGGCCAGTGAGGTGACTCGGCAGGTAGAGGCACTTGCCATGCAAGCCTGGTGACCTGAGTTCAGTCCCACATGTGGAACCCACACAAAGGTGGAAGGGACAATTATCGCCACAACAGTTATCCTCTGACCACCACATGCATGAGTGCCCACACACACTAATAATAAACACAGAGCTAAAGCTATGATCTACCAAGCCATTTTCAGACGGTAGCTTACGTTCCATAACAGTGAGACAGCCAGCCCGAGTCTGGAGGCTGCTCAGCCCTTTGCAGCACACTTTTGGGGCATTCTAAATGCTGTGTAGTGACAGCTCAGTGGAGCCAGGGGCGTGCTGTTGGCCTGCTTCTGTGATGAGTGGGGGTTGCTGCTTTTAGGCTATGAAAGGGCAGAGTTTTTTTAGAATCCCATTCTCTACCAAGGTCCAGCCTTCACCCCCTGGGGTGACTCTGTGCCCATTGAAAACTCAGGGCTCCAAGCCTTCCATCACCCTAAATACTGAGAGGTCTTGGGGCAGCTGCTCTGGACATACTTGGTGGGGACCAGCGTGTGAACAAGGCTATGGCCTGGGCAGACGGATACTCTGACCCCAAGTGAGCTAAGTCCACAAAGGCCCCAGGGTAGGGGCTCCTGCGGGCGAGGGGCAATCTTTCCCCCATTCGTTTGTCTTGAGCACAGACTCACCACAGAACACGGGTGGCTGCCTTTACAGGGGGCACCCACTGTGATGCCATAGTGAAGTTGAAGCACAGGGCACACTGCAAAACTTATTGCGGAATCTGTCACTGTTCCCATGGGCCCCCACTTACCCAGGCCAAAATGTGCCACAGGCTCCATCTCGCACAGGTAGCCAGAGCCCCCATCAATGATCCGTAGGTGCGCCCCACTCTTCTTGGTGTAGAGTACAACTTTGGCGCCCCTGGCGAAGGCCCCAAACCGGGTGCGAGGCACCACACGCAACCAGTTGTTGCTGAAGCCCTGGCGGGGAGGAAGGTGGCGGCCATCAGCCAGGCTGGCACAGAGCAGGGAGGGAGGAGGAGAGGAAAGGGAAAGGAGAGGAGGAGGGGAGAAGGAGGAGAGGAGGTACAGAAGGGAAGAGGGAGAGGAATGTGGGCAGGGACTGCTGCACGGAGGAGGGGGCAGCCAAACGACTCAGGGGTGGGATTTGAGGCCAAGAAGTTCCTGTGGCTGGCAGAAGGCAGAGGCTGAGCAAGGGATTCTCCTGGAAGCGGTCCTTCCGGCTGGGAACTCATGGGCTTCTTGGTCCAAGGCTTTCCATTTCCCACCATGCTGGCTAATAAGCCCAGGTGCCTGCGCCTCCATGGGTCTCTGAGAGCACGCCAGGCTGAGAGCCCAGGGCCCTGAGGTTGTGCACACCTGATTTCCCCGGAAGACAGACAGTGGCTGAGCCATGGACTCTCCGTGTGACAGGATGAGGTCCAGCATCCCGTCTCCATCGAAGTCGGTCACCACGCCCCCTACAAACAATGCAGATTTCACCTCTAGCCACTGGACTAAGGGGGAGGAGGGGCTCCCTGGTGTGGTGGTAATAGCCAAGAGTGTGAAAGGTAACACGAGAGGACAAACAGTTCGGGCAGGACCGGGGCTGCAGACCCGGCTCTCTCCTGCCCACCACCCAGCTCGATCCCTTCCTTTCTCTGAATTTTCATGCATGGGATTCGTGCAAGTTGCTACCTGACCCTTCTTGTGAGTTTGGGTGATACACCTCATTATTTCATTATTTCATAGCGGTTTTTGTTTTTCAGCTTCTCCAGTGTTTGCATAGACCTGGTCTCTTTTTGGTCCTCTTTAAAACCCGAAGAGGTGAGAGAGGCAGACACTCTCATTTTTGTGGAAAATGATACCCAGAAGATAAGGTAACTACAGACCTGGGTCCTAGGACTCCCAGTCAAGTGCTCTTTGACACTGAGCCAGACATGGCATGCCTGCCAGGGAGCAGCAGGGGCACATCCCTCAATCTTCCTTCCTCTACACAGGAAGGCACGGCCAGAGAGACAGTTGCCTCCCTCATAAACCCTGCTCCTCCCCCAGCAGGCCTGGGGACCGGAGGAAGGGTGGTCCCCTTCCCTGCCCCCTGGCTTTAGGCCCATGACTCTCTTCCAGTCTTGGATCTCAGGGAGGCAGGGCCAGGACCAGCTGCCTGATTTCTTGCTCTTCCCTGCCCAAGGGTATGGACTGTGCTGAGCTGGAGCCTTCAGGTGCCTTACCTGTACCCCGGCCCTCTGGCTCCAGGGCATCACCAGGATTAAGTTCCTCGATGAGAGGGTCCCCATGCTCCCTGCGGATAACCCTGTAGAAAAGATGGACTTGTTCAACAAGGCCCCGGTGGGCTCCCCTCTGCCCCTTGATCAGCCCCGACATTCTGTGCTCTGATGCCCATGGCATTTCTCTCTGCTCTCAGACTCTGCCTTCGCTATGGCAGTTCCCTTCTTGCGTTTTAATTTATGTTGGTAAACATTGATTTTTCTTTCTCTAATAGATGAGTTATAGACAGCCTGGGGAGGGGCAGGATGGAGAAGGGCAGAGGCACAGCTACCTTCAACTGACCTTCATGCTCCTCCAAAGGGTGCTGGGTTCCACAGCTCTGGGTGTTTCTCAGGGTTCAACCCCATGCAGGGTCTCCCTCCTCAGCCTGCTCGTCCTCTGCTGACTGGCTGTCCGGCTAGAAGCCATCCCTGCTGCCTGTGCTGTCTTTATTGCTCTCCTGGCCTTTCTCGCTCTCTGCCCATGTTAAGTCTGCACGGTGCATCTTATCTCTCAAGCTGGTCTGTGAGCTTGCTGCAGGCTGGGACCTTGTCACGCTCATCTTTGCTTCTCTCATAGCATCCAACGCAGGGCCTAACTCTCTAGCCAGCTCCAAGCACATGTCTGTGGGGAGCTCTACTCAATTCCAGAGGCAAATAGCAAGGGTCCCTCATGTGGTGAGAGTCCTTCTGTATGTTTGGATTACTCAGTCTTGTCCCTGAGAACTTCCGAGACTCTCCCCATCTCTTACTGTCTCTCTCTGAAGTGAGCAGTACACCGCCAACGGTGGTGTGAGCTTTCCTCTCTAGCTTCTTGCACTTGTTGAATTCTGTAGCTGTGGCTCCTCTGCCCTGGCTGGGTGGGGAGCGTGGGAGGAGCCTGAGGCAGGGGGGAAACCTGTACTCCTCTCCATAAGGTCTGTTCAAACCACACTGTGTCCCAAGAGCTGGGACCTGTGGTTAATTGCTGCAGAAGGCCAGGCACTTGCAGGGTTATGTGGATGCCCATGATGCATGTAGATCCCAAGGCATCTAGGTTGAGCACGTCCATGTGTACATGTGGGTGGCACACAGTATCTCTGGGAAGGGTGCTGTGTGGACACACGGGCATGTGCATGTCTGCTAAAGGTGTGGCTCCTCAGCTTGTAGACCCACACTGCCCTTTTGATTATCTGTGTGCTACAGGCTCTGCTGCAGCTGGGCAGAAGCCAAGGGCAGCCAAGGGAAGAGGGAAATAGTCAGGCTGGCATTTCAGCAGGTTGCTGTGCTGGACTACAGACTAGGGGAGGGTTGGGCTGGGCTCAGAAAGCCCTACAAGACCAGAAAGTGGGGCAGGGAGACTTGAGAACAGAGCAGACATATTTAGATGCACATGTAGGAGGCAGTCCACACCCTGTTAGTCCTGGGGGCGTCCTTGCTTGCATGGTCATCATAGGCTCCTGTCACTGGGGCTTGGATCTGGTCTAGGTGATACCCTGCCTGAAGCATCATTAAAGGACCATGAGGCTTTGGGTCCCAGTGCCCGGGCAAGTGGTGGGAGAGACAGTCTCAGGAACTGGTCCCTTCGGTGATGGTAACAAGCTGGTACAGTATGGGGCGAGCGAGGCTTGAACTTTTAAGCTGCCAGTTAGCAGTAGTCCCAGCTGCAGCCCCTAAGCTGTGTGCTCAGGACCCAGCCATCTGCCTCGGGGACTTGAGGCCCAGCTGTGTACCTAGACAGTGGCTTCTGTTGCCCCTGAGTGGAAGCTAGCACTGCCCCAGGGGGTGACCATGTGGCGACTGTCCACCGACAGCCCAGGGCCAGCCTCTCTTGGGCAGCATGGGAAGCTGGGAGGTTGGGACAGGCCAGGAAGGTGGACAGGCAGAAAGGTACCTGGGTTGTTGTGCCACAGACCCAGAGCCCTAGACAAGTTGCTGCTCAGGGTTCCGGCAAGTGACACTTTATTAGCCGGAGAAGGAAGGCAGCATCTCTGTTAACGAGCAATTGATCTTCTGCAATTAATCTAGAAGTTGTGAATAAGCTTTTTGCAAGGCACCTAATTAGTAAATCTGGTGCCTTCAGGGGGTGATTACATCCAGTCAGGATTGATGCTTGGTTAATAATTATATTTTAAAACATGCTTAGTCACAGCTTGTGCCTTTTATTAATAGTTGAGTCCCCCTAGAGAGAAGGAATAGGGACTTGGAGGGCCAAGCAGATGACCTGACCTATTTTTTCTTGGCTTGAAGACCTTTGTCCCACCTCCTCTCCCCACCCAATGTGTCTTGGTGACATCCCAGTCCATGTGAGGTTTGTCCCGAAGTGCTTTTCAAATGCCTGTGTGATAAGAACACCTGTGGGCCTCCTACTCTTCCTAGGCCTACCCGAATGCTGGGCCTCAACCCTTGGAATTTGACTTAGACATCTGAGGTGGGCCCTAAGACTCTACACAAGCACTCGGAAGATTCCTCCAGTCCCCAGGAGTTATGTCACCTTAGAAACTTGTCCCTTTCTCCTCAGATTTGATGCTCAAGGACTCTAATGTTTCCTCTCCATTCTCTACCTTAACTGTTGTGGAATAATATGTTTGTACGTTGTGAAGATGTGTCACTTCTTAATAAAAAGCTGAATGGCCAATAGTTAGGCAAGATTTTTGGGGCAGAGAGGACTCTGGGAAGAAGAAAGACAGGGTTTCCAGGAGATGCAGAGGGAGCAAGACAGGCTGGAGGACAGGTAAAGCCACCAGCCATGAGGCAATTCGTAGATTAATAAAAAATGGGTTAATTTAAGTTGTAAGAGGTAGTTAGTTAGTAACAAGCCCAAGCTGTGATGGAGTTTTTATAATTAATAATAAGTCTCTGTGTCATTACTGGGGAGTCTGCAACAAGCTTCAGTTACACTTAACCATCTCTTCCAGTGTTTCCCACGAAAGCTCTACAGAGCATCCATCCTTTGAGAAACATCCCTGGAAGACGTGCCCTGTGGCCTTATCGATTGAACACTCCATCCATCTTTTGGAAAGTTGAAATGCTCAGTGGTTCTGTTACAGGTGCTCAGAAGTCCCCAGTAGACAAGCCTGACCCTCTTTGTTTAGCCCAGGTTACCCAAACAGACCCGACCCTGGAAGTCTTTCTGTGGCTGTGGGAGCTCTACCTTGTGGGGTGGAGGGATGGGCTGTCTGAGCCTAGTCCTCCCTGCTCGTGTTGCAGCTGCTGCAAAGGCTGCTGTGTTACTCAGGCTTCTCTCTCCATCTTGCTTGCTCTCTGTCCTCCCTCCTCTCTCTTTCTTAATCAAGGACCATCCTCCCCCTGGCACAACTTCTCTGACCCTTGGAATCCAGCCCCCATGGCCTGAATTTGGTACCGGAAGAGGCGATTGGCTGCAGAGCTGCGGTAGGCGATGTTGTTGAAGAAGACTTCCAGTTCCTGGTCGTTGTCGAAGTCAGCAACAATGACAGTTCGGACCGGGGAGGGCGTAGAGAACTTGGGTGAGGCAATGTCCTGGAGGAGAGAGTACTGAGGGTCAGAAGGGAGGACAGCTTCAATGAGCAAGAGCCCACACCCCTCTACTGTGTGAATATGCGATAAGGAAAGCCCCAGCACCTCTATTATGCCCCCTTGGTTATGACCCGGAGTGGCGACCCTAGGCATTGTACAAACTTCAGGCTGCCTGCAGAACAAGGCAGGCAGAGTAACAGCTGCAGCCCACACCAGCTCATGGAGGAAGCTCTGAGCCGGTTCCTGGTCCAGATCGCACTTAACCCTCCTGCCAGTCCCCTGAGCAGCCTGACGTCAGGGTTCCACTTTACAGAAGGGATAACTGGGTCTTGAAGAAGGAGGGTGGGGTGATTGCTAACAATGGGGCCGGAGCCAGAGCTACAGATGGGAGATTCTGACCACGTGCCCTTCCTTCTCAAGTGCTGAAGGCACAGCAAAGCACCTGCTTTTGAATCCAGCCCCCAGCACTGGCTTGACCTCAGGGAGGTCACTCAACCCTTGGGCTGGATCTCACTGTGGGGACAGCAGCAGCCTACGCTGTGGGGCCTGCGTGTTAGGTGTGCATCACGGGGTGGCCAGGAGACAGATCACTGGCAATCTGTGTTGCAGCGTCTTTGTCACCAGCCCCATGCAAAGCCAGACATACCATTTAGTTGTTGTGTCTCTCATTGCTCCTACTTCCTCATCCTGTTTCTGGGGAGTCTTAGGATTTTATTTGAGACATATATGATTTAAAGGAGTATCATTATCATTTATGCTTGTCCAGGACTTATGGGGAAACTCTGGACCCAAGACAGCCAAGCTGGGAACCCTCCCCCAAGTGCTGGCAGTCTTGAGAGGGTATGGCACAGGGTTCTAAGTGTGGGGTTTGTCTCTGAAATGGAAGAAGAGCTGTGGCAGATGGTCTTTTGTTTCTGAGCAGAATATTCCCATTGTGTGGAGGTTGTCCCTTGAAGACATTCAGTGGCTGTCTGAATCCCACTGCTTGGCTGAAGAGAAATGGGAAGGCTGAGCTGGTTCTTTTGGAGTCCCTGCCTTTGGGCCAGCCCCTGCCCTCCTCTCTTTCTGTAGCCTGCTTTGGAGCCGTAGGAAGGCGCTTTCTTGGCTCAGCTGCAGAGACACTTGCTCCTGGAGTCAGGAGAGGGTGACAGTCCTCATCAGCACTATAATGAGGTTGATTAAGAGCCTGGCTGGCTGGTCAGGCTGGGCTGAGCAGGGTCTTCAGAGCTGGGGAACAAGGAGACCTGAGGATCTCTAACTCATTACTGCTCCATCGATCCTGTAAAAATGGAAACTTACACAGCCCCCCTGGGGTTGCCCCTCTGCATGCCTGGGCTTCGAGATAATCTATGTAAAGCTCTTATCAGGGATCCTGGCACGTGGGTGGCACGTGATAAATGGGACATTTGTTATTATTGTTATTGTGCTGTGAGCTCTGCGCAGGGGCCTCAGAAGGCCAGCGTGTTCTCTAACCTCGGCACAGGACATCTGGAGCCTTTGTACTATAAAGTATAAAGGTGACACTTTATAGTGGGGCTGTCCTGTGTATTGTGGGATGTCTGCAGGTTTTGTCCTGGCTTTTGTCCTTTCCCAGTCAGGACAATTCGGAATGTTCCCAGGCATTGTCAAATATCCTGGGACAGGGAGGGCAAGATTATTTCTTCTGTGAGTCTGGGCTAGAATGCTGGACAAGGAAGGAATTCAGAGCTCCAGGATCAATGTTCTGAGTTTGAGGCAAAAATCCTCCTGCAGATGGCTTGGAGACTCAGCAGGGAAGGGGGCACAGAGACAACTACAGGCGGGGCCTTCACAGTCAAACAGACTTTGGGAATCCTGGATAATTCTCTGCATTCACAAAGCTGAGAGTACTTATAACCTTTCAGTTCAGTTCTATTATTATTATTATTATTATTATTATTATTATTATTAATCAAGTCCTAAGTACTTCAGGAGTAACCTGACTTCTTGATATCAGCTTCATCAAATCCATACTCTGCCATTGGCTGAGAAAGTCCCAAACTCAAGCTCATTACTGCCACCCAGCAGCCCTTGGGGAGAATACTTGTCATTGCATTATGGCCACAGCTCAGGGAAGGGGACAAGGGTGTATGTGTGTGGTTATCCTATCCTTTATTTGACCTCGGGGACAACCTGGGAGCTCCCTGTCCTCAACTTCTCTCCTCTCCCATCATGCTGCCCTGGACCTCAATTAGCAGTTACAGGTGGGAAACACACACACACACACACACACACACACACACACACACACACACACACCAAACCAGTTACAGGTGGGTGTCTGGGGAGTACCAAGGAACAGTAGTTGCCAAAGACTTGGCTTTCCCTGACAGGGTTCCTGCAGACTGCCTAGGAGATTTCTTTCTCTGTGGCCACTTGTTTTCTGCTCTGGGCCCAAGACCCTGCACATGGCTGAGGCTGGTGTCCTTGTACCCTGTATGTCTCCTTCCTTGAGACCCCACCCCCAGCCCTGGAGAGGCCCAAGGCCTCCTAGGCTTAGCAGGAGGCACAAGGTTGGTGCCCATCTCTATGGTCTGCCTAACTACTGTGCATGCCCTGGTAGTTCTTACCCTAAATCGAACCTTCCCGTGAGCACTCATCTGCAGATAGAGGCGGTGTGGGCCATTCCAGTTGCCGTAGACGATATCCACTTTGCCGTCACGGTTGAAGTCTGCCAGGGCCACACCTCGCCCATGCTGGTGAGGGTCATCTACACCTGGGGGGGGGAGAAGAGGCAGGAGCTTCAGGTACCGTCCCTTGCACGTTTTACAAGCATTCACCTCCAGCAACAAGAGAAGGTGACCCTCCTACAGTCCCCGTTCTTCTGGGAAGATGCGGAGGCACAGCTGAATTCAGATGCTCTTGTGGGGAAAAGGAGTAGCGAAGCCATCCACTTCCATGCTACCTGGACTCAGCTCAGGGCAGCATGGTCCAGGAGGAGGAGAGTGATAGGCATTCTGGGGGACTAATGCCTTTCCTACCAGTATCATACGGCCACAGGGAGACGTTAAGTTGATCTCATCCCCCTTGGCTTAACTCTCTCTCAAGGGTTCACCAGTACTTTGGGTCAAGTTCAGATTTCTGCCTGGGATTGCAGGCTCTGGCCTGCTGTGTCCTTATCCTGTCTTTGTTGTTATCCTGTCTCTGTGGCTTACAGAGCTTGGATCATCATAGTCCTTCCACGCCTTAAGTGAACCAAGTTCTTCCTACATTCAGGGTCTTTGTTCTAGCTGGTGTCTCCTCTCTAGATGCCTCCCTGGCCCCGTAGGGAAGCCTTTCATGACCTGTATGTATAAAGTGACCCACAAAACAAGCCAGGCTCGAGAAAATAAACATTGGATTTTTTTTGTTTGCTTGTTTTTGTTTGGGGTTGGGGATTTAGCTGAGTGGGAGAGCACTTGCCTGGCGAGCACAAGGCCCTGGGTTCGTCCTCAGCTCCAAAAAGAAAAGATAAAATAACAAAAGACCCAAAAAACAAAGATAACTTTTATTCTGAGACAGGTTTCTCTGTGTAGCCCTAGATGGCCCTGGAACTCGCTCTTAGACCACAGAGATCCACCTGCCTCTGCCGCCTGAATGCTGGAATTAAAGGTGTGACCATCACCACCTGGGCTCATGTTTTCTTGAATATGTGGACTCCAGGTTTAAACACGCACGTGCGCGCGCACACACACACACACACACACACACGCACGTGCGTGCATTCATGCACATACACATACATAAAGACACACATGCATATACACAAATCCTGGCATAAAAGTTGAAAGCGGCTTATTAAGTAAGAGGCCTAGAGGTGCAGGGAGAAGTGACTAAGAAAAGGCAATGGAAAATCTGTGCCATGGAAGCAGAAAGGGCTGATTTGGAAAGGGAAGTAAGGGGACAGCAAGGAGGATGATGGGGAGGGCAGTGTGAGGTGACTAAGGACAAAGCATAGTGAAGATGTCACAATAAACTCATTTTCTATGCTAACGAAAAGGATTAATAAAAAGGACAACAATACAGTCCCTTAAAGCAGCCCCTCCCACCTGCCCTCCTCCTCTCCTAATCTTTCCTTTCCCAGTGCTGGTCTTTGGGGGTCTCCTTGCTTGGGATCTGGTTTCTCTACCTACTCCACTCTCCCGAGATCAGCTACGCCCCACGGTTCCTTTGTGCCGCAGGTCTATCTTGGCGCCTGCGGTTGCATGACAGCGCTCAGTGAGTACTTGCTGAATGAATGAAGAGACATAAATAATTTGACAGCAGGCAAACTGGGGATGCTAGTGACAGCAGAGGAAATACAGCAACCATGACAGAGAGCCCACAATGGGCCTGTGAGAACGGGAAGGGAAGCGCCCCCTGCAGCCCACTGCCACTGTCCACTCAGGAGCCCATTGTAGAGGAGAATGGGGTTGGCACAGCCTGGAGGCGTGGCCCCTCCTCCTGTGTAGAGGCAGATCTGCCCACTTCTGTCCCGGGTGCAGAGCTAAGATGACACCCTCAAAGGACAAACAGCTGCAGGCTGCCCTGGGTACAGGGTAGTGGGACAATAAAATAGAGGTGGTGGGCAGAGACTCCAGGACCAATGCAGGCAGGGTGATTCCGAGAATGGAAGTCAGGAGAAGGCAGGGGTGGGGCCTATGAGAACCTAGGAGGTGAGGTACTCTCATGGAGGAAAGAGGCTTGGGGCAGAGCAGCGATGGCCGACAAGGCAGAGACTCAGTGGGAGAGGGTGTGGTTAAAGGGACCGGGGACAGCCCCTCAACCCTAGGGCTGATATTCCATTAATTCTCTGCAAACTCCCTTGCCTAAGCGTCGGGCTGGTGGCCTTCCGAGCTGGCCCATTTCTCTCCTATCTGTGAGGCACCTTGACAAGGAGCTGGCTCCTTTTCGTGGGACTAAGCAGTGCCAGGCTGCATTTCACAGCGGCATCTGTTTGGGTGATGAATGCCCCCTTGACACGTCTCGTTAAACCCCTGCAATCACTTTGACTTCCAATTACGGGCCTCGCACCTTGCATCTCCTCCTGCCTGATACCTTCTCCCACTCCAACTTGTTCGCTCACCTCTGCTGCCATCTCCTTAGCACCTTATCAGATTCTCCCAGTTTTTTTGTGCTATCTCTTCATTCTGTGGTTTCTCAGCAGTGAGACCGGCTGCTGCCAAGTGCAGCCCACGCAGGGGATGGGCACAGAGGGCCACACCCTATTATGCCAGGGAAGGAGAGAGCTGGGGCAAGGGTGCAGGGTGACAGGTAGCCAGCTGGCATAGGTGGTGCTTCAGCTGGGGTGGGGGTTGGGAGTCCACCCATGTGGAGACTCCCGAGAAGCCGATGGAGAGGGAGACTCTCTTGTGTCGGAGAGAAGGGATGGGCTCATGCTTGGACTTAGCTGCTGTTGTCTGTTGTCTGCAGAGCTGGTGGGACCTAAGATCTCTGGGTTCAGATCCTCTGTCGACTCTTGCCCATGCTCCAAGGGGGGGTGCACTGAAATCGTCTTTCATTCCCGGTGTGGGAGGAGATGGGGGGTGAGGAAGGGGCTGAAGGGCACAGATTTTTATAAAGGAGTCATTCTGTTGGGCCAGGAGACGACAGTACCAGGTCCCTGTCCTGGCAGAGCACACTGACCAATCATGTGGGAACCTGCGTGAGAGGTGCGTGCCAGGGGCAGTGGAGACGGAAGGAAGAGAGCGTTTCTGCCAGGTGGCACGGAGGAAGCCAGTAAACGCTTGTCAGAGGTGACCCTGGGCAGAATGTGGAAGGGCACAGGAAAGTTCTGCAGAGAAGAGGGAGGGCGGTCCAGCAAAAGGAATGGCCCAAGCCCAGGTCCTGGGGTTGATGGAAGACAATCTCAGGCAGGAAGGGGATGGAAGACAACCTCAGGCAGGAAGGGGAGAGGTGCTGGAAGCCATGGTGATGGTTTGGTTTACATTTTATCCTGCTCCTCATTATAGCTGTTCGTGTAGACACATGTTTCTACAGTGTTAGCTCCTTTCTTAAATGCGGTGTGGTCTCAGTCTTACTCAGGTCAGCATTCCAAGCTCTTAGCAGTAGCTGGACACTTAGCAAAGCTTCTTGACATGGTTGTTGATGGTGCACACCTTTAGTGCCAGCACTTGGGAAACAGAAGCAGAGGCAGGCAGATCTCTGAGTTTGAGATCAGCTTGGACTACAGAGTTAATTCCAGGACAGCTAGGGCTAAACAGAGAAGCCCTGTCTCAAAAAACCAAACCAAACCAAACCAAATCAAAAACAAAAGAACAACCAACCCCCAAACAAAATAAAAATTAAACAACTCCCCCAAAACAAAACAAATTTTACAATGACTGATCTAATTTGAGGTCCATGCCATGAAAGGCAGCCCATGCCTAACATTGCCTGGATGACCAGAAACTGGAGGCTGGACAGCCTAGAGACCTAGGGTAGAAAAAAATGATTCCTATTCCTATTCTGCTATACTCTTAGATTGGTGCCTAGCCCAATTGTCATCAGAGAGGCTTCCTCTAATAGCTAAAGGGAGCAGATGCACAGATCCACAGTCAAATCTGAGATCTCCATCGGGTCCCTTCCCTTAGGGGAACCTGAAGAAGAGGGCGGGGGAGAATTATAGGAGCCAGAGAGGTGAGGACATCAGGAGAACTCAGGCACAGAATCAACTAAGCAGGGCTCATAGGTGCTCACAGAGTCACCGAGTCCGCATGGGTCTGCACTAGGCCCTCTGCAAATGTTGTGATGGTTAGCTTGATGTTTCTGTGGGCCTTCTAAGAGTGGGTTAGAAGTAGGGGTGTCTCTGACTCTTTTGCCTGCCCTTGAGACTCCTTGCCATCTATTGGGTTGCCCCACCCAGCTCTGATAGGATGGTTTGTGCCCAGTCTTACTGTAACTGGTCATGCTGTGTTTGGTTAATATCCCTGGGAGGCCCGTTCTTTTCTGATGGGAAACAGACTGATGGGAAACAGACGGGTAGTGGATCTGGGGAGAGAGGAGGTGTGTGTGCAGGGGGGGGGCGGATGGGAAGAGTGGAGGGAGGGGAACTGAAGTCAGGATGTATTGTAGGAGAGAAGAACCTAAAAAAAAGAAATTGTTGTTGGATTAAACTGGATGTTTATGATAAAAGAGGGTAAAGGCACCTACTGTCAAGACTGTTGACCTGAGTTCGAGTCCTGAGAACCACATGGTACAAGGAGAGGAGTGGCTTTTGCAAGTTGTCCTCAGACTCCCACTTGGGTGCCATAGCATGTGCAATTCCACACATGTGCACACAGTTAAGTAAGATGTTATAAAAAGGAAGATAAATGGGGGGAGGCCAAGATAGGGAGGGAGCGTTTCAAGGAGAATTGTGTTAGGAAACAAAAGCAGACTCAGAGGCTCATAGGTCATCTGTGGGCACAGGGCATGCTAGGAGCAGGAGCCTCCCTGCCCCGTCAGCAAAAACCCCTGCAGCTTGAGGGTAGCAGAGAAACCCACTGTCCTCCAGGCCCAGGGACGTCGGGGGCACAGGAAAGGTCCACACTTACCAGCACTAGCTGCAGCGTCCACAAAAGTGCCGTTGCCTTGGTTGTGGAAGAGGAAGTTGGGTCCATTCTCGTTGTCACAGAAGATGTCTGAAGCACTGTTGCTGAGAATGGGGCCCACGCTGACACCCCGGCCCGCTAGGAGAGGAGGTGCGCCCGCAGTGAGTGCCTAGAGCCCAGACCCGACATACCTGGAGGACTGCACTGCTGAGGACCCACATAAGTTTGCTTCAAGGAAACAACCAGAAAAGCCTGAGGGATATGAACTTTGGGATGTTTCCCTGACCTAGACCTCGGCTCCCTGTCTTCCTAACTCTGATGGCACTGAGGCTGGAGAGTAGCTGGGTGGGATCACTTTGTGCCAAAAGCTTCATTTCATGACCAGGAATGCACAGGGCATGGTCACCACCATATCAGCTGAATGCACAGGGCATGGTCACCACACATATCAGCTGAATCACAACACCCTAAACCCACTCTGTCCCTGTGAGCACGGTCAAGTCACAGGACCCCCAACATTGAGTCAGTCCCACTTCAAGTCCCAAATAACCCCGTCAAAACCTATGTGTGTGTTCTCGGGTTAAGAATCTGAGGAAGTCGGCTCTGTCTGCAGGCTCTAACAGGCTGTGGCCCCAGGATGCTTATGTGGCTTTGGTTGATACACTAAGCATTTTGTCCATTGGTAGTGACCTGGCTGAACAGATTACAGTACAACCGTATGCTGGATCATTCTGCAGCTACTGAAAGGACTGTGTAGGTCTTATGTATTGACTTGGAGGAGTGCCTGCAATTGTTAAAAAAAAGTAATTTGGCAAGTAACAGCACTGTGTGATCTTACATTTATTAAAAAAGGTGGGAAAATTCTTGGTATTTCAGAATAGACGTGTGTATAAGCTAGTTAGAGAAAAGTGGAGATCACATTGATGAGCTGCAACAGGACGGACCATGGAAAAGAGAGATGGTAGCTGGCCTTTTCTTTGAATGTTCCCTATTGTTTGGCTTGTAGCAACAAGTCTTGTTTTGCAGTTTGAAAGGAGAATATCCAATAGTGTGAGTGTGTGTGTGTGTGTGTGTGTGTGTGTGTGTGTTGTTTGTTTGTTTTGGTTATTCTAGACAGGGTTTCCCTGTGTAGCCTGGCTGTTCTGGCACTCGCTCTGCAGACCAGGCTGGCCTTGAGCTCACAGAGATCTGCCTGTTTCTGCCTCCTGAGTGCTGGGATCAAAGGTGTGTGCTACCACTGCCCAGCTTACATTTTATTTTTAAAGACATAAATCAAGCCAGCACTACATTAGGCTCTGAGGGCTAACATCAATTTTGAGCCCCTGATATGAAGAAATCCAACCTTGATGCATCCTGAACAAAGCATCCCACATGCAAGGGCTTCAAACAGAGCCTTTGCTTGCTGATCCTCTCTAGAAAAGCCCACCCGCATCTGGGAAGCCTTAACAGTCATGGCCTCTGGATGCTGGGAAACTGTTGATATAACCTTACAAGTGGATGGAGATTCTTACAAGATGCTGGACTATAGACAGCTTGCTACCCATTGAACATCAGTTTCTTCTTCTGTAAAATGGGGATTTTCTGACTTGCCCTTTTCAGTTTTTATAAATATCAAATGAATGAGAAATGATGATGGATTACAGGTGTCCAACAGGAGGAAGGGGAAACTGAGTCCCTATATGCTCTTGGTGGGAATATAAATCAGTACAATCGCAGAGCAGTTTGGCATACTCTCAGAGAAATGAGAAATAGAATTACCATATGACCCCGCATTTTTGCAGCTGGGCGTTCACTCTCCAAGGGAAATGAAGTCAGTAGGTTTGGGATTTCTGTACTCCTGTGTCTACTCTAGCACTATTCATGAGTGTCAATACAAAACCGCCCTAAATGGCCATCAGAAGACTGAATAAAGGAAATTTGGTATGTTTTCACAATGCAATACTATCCGGCTTTACAAAAGAAGAAAATTATGTCACTTGTGGCCACACAGATGAGCCTGGAGGACAACATGCCAAACGGAGATGAGACACATAAGCAGGGTTTCCTAAGGTGTGGGGTCTAGAGAGCTAAGCTACAGAAGCAGGGCACAGAGTGGGGTTACCAGGGTCTGGGTGAAGGGGGAGATGGGAAAGGACTGTGGTGATGGTGAAAGCACAGCGTTGAACAGGGGTGCTAAGTCTGGGAGAGAGACTACTGTACACTATGGTGCACACAGTTAGTAACTACCTGCTGCTCTTGCTGGTTAAGATGGTGGGTTGTAAATGACCTCACCACAAGTGGAAAGTAACGCATGTTAGTTCAGGCCAGCTATCCCACAAGGCATATATATTTCAGAATATGTTGTATATGATAAATATGGAGTTTTCGGAAGTTTATTTAAAAAAAACCAGGCAAGAGAGATGGAGGTGTTGTGAAGCCTACAGTCTGGCTGTGTCACCAGCCTTGTGGATTGGCTGCTGGGCTTCTCAGAGATGCAAAATCTCAGGCCCTGCTGAGTCCTCATGCTGACAAGACCACTGTGTGGTTTGTATGTCCACTAAAGGACAAGGTATATTGTTCTAAGGAACTAGCTGCTTTGACAAGAAAAAACTGGGGCTGGAGTTTTAAAGTAAACAACAGCTCTGGCAGAACTCCGTGACAATGACCAGGCCCTTGGCCACCCACCTCTGTATGGATCCAGGGTTTGTGAAGTGACTGAACTAATCTAAGAGGGAGGGCAGGCTCCTGTGGTCCTTCACCCTGGGAGATGCTCCCTGACACATTATGGGGCTTTGTTACGGAACAGAGCTGGGGCAGGGGCCCCATAAGGACTTTACCATTTGCGTTATTCTTACTGGAAGATCATTGCCCTTGCTAATACCTGTTGGACTTTTGTGTCCCGGATTCTTTCTTCCTAGGTAATCAGATTAAGTCTTGGAGGAGAGTCTTGTAAAAATTAGCAACAAAGTCCCCCATCACCCCTGGGGATCTTCCACGGCGTGGGGTGGTGACTTCCTGGTCACTTTCCACAGCCAGGAGAAAGGATGCTGAGACCCGACCTGGGCACCGCCTCTGCCCGCTATAAAGAGGAGATAGTAGTAGCTGTCCCTGTCCTGGTCACTGCAGGACTCCATCCTGGAGGAGGGCTTCCAGGAAATTCCAGGTGGGACTCAGGACTTGCCACCATGCAACTCAGTCCTTCTCTCTCTCTCTCTCTCTGTCATCCTCCAATTTCCTCTCGGCCTCTAGCTCCCAAGCTGTGACACATTCCCTTCATTTTCTACAAAGCAGGTTATTTCCCTTTTGGACAAATTTCTAAATCTTTCTAATTAACTAATTGGGTTGGGTTGAAGCCTTGCACCATTTGTAACCTGTAATTACTAGAAAATTGCCATGGTAACCACACTACTAATTAGCAGCAATTTATTGCCATAGCAACCGGACCATAACAGAGATGTTACCCACAACTCCTTCTTGGCAAGTTGGCCACGCAGTTGGGGAACAGGTGAGTCCACAGTCAGGAAGCCAGCCTTTTGGGGCTCATCTCCAGAAGCTGTAGAATGGGGTCTGAGGCAGGGCAGCCAGGTGCTGAACCCCTCACTGATGCCACAAGGGGGGACTCTCGGAACCAGCAGAAACCTCCCATCAAAGCTGCCCTTCCATGCCTCCTCATTGCCAGTCAATGACAAAGGTTGCAGCAGGCCTTCTCCCAGGACTTACCTCTCCTCTTCCCCCTGCTTTGTGATACCCACCCTCCCCTCCTTTCCCTAGGTTTAGCATAAACCATGTCATACAGGGCTACCCAGAGGGCGGCGGTTAAGGAACATCCTGACGGAGTCGACTCCATCCTTGTCAGTGAGTCCCTCATTCTGTGAAGGCAGCACCCTCTCTCACAGACACACAGTTCCCTGGATGAGGCTGTAGTGGTGGAACACCAGCTCTCAGGACTGGTGATCCGCAAGCCCAAGGTTGAGCTGGGTGACCTTGGGCATATCACTTAACCTTTCTAGACTTCTGTTTTCTCATCTATGAAATAAACTGGTAGTAATAATAGCTCCTTCTCAGGGGTGTCATAAATATTAAGTGGGATGAATTTTGGAAGGTATCTTGGAAAATGTCAGGTGCCACATAGTCATTAGCTGGGACTATTTACCACCTGCTGAGTGAATAATATCACTTTATTTTTGCCCAGCACTTCAAGCTTCAAAGGGCCTTTGTTATGCTGTGGGCTTTGAGTGATTCTGTCTCTGCTTCCTCCCCAAGGACATGTGCCACTCTGCCTGTCAGAGAGGTTGGGGGTTCCAGGGGAAATGACCCCCTGAGGTCCTCATGTCTTCTTGTCACATTTCAGGCTTCTCTGTTTGCTCGTTGGGCCCAATATCTATGGAAAGCACTGGCTAATCACAATACCTGCACCTCCAAACCTCTGACCTCTGGCACTTGAACAGTGCAGGCTCCAGTGTAATTCCCAGTGGATGGATGCAGTGGTCCATCTCCCAGCTCTCAGGGACTGGATGGGGAGGGAAGGCAGAGACTATGGATGGATCATCACACACTCCGAACTGCTCCAACGATGGGCTGCTGACCCAGGGATGAAGCAGCAGACTGGGATCTGGTATCTGAGGAAGGACCTCTGAGTTCTTTCCTAGGCCATTGCCTCTCTGGCTCCAGGAACTTTGGAAGGAGACTTCTAGGTATCAGCCCCCTGTACTGCAAAATGTGATGAGAAGATCCTTAAGTTTTTACTTTTCAACAAAAGCATCTTTCAAACTGGACCAAAGAACAAACATGTTGGAGGCAGTTTCCTGCCCCATATCCTGCTGTGGTGGAGGTCAGGGACTCCTCACTGAAAGGGTGTGGACCCGTGACATTCTGCTACTGGAACCCAATGTCCATAGCCTGCCAAGAATATTCAAGATATTGTGAAAAGAGTTGGTCTAAGATGCTGGAAAATGTGTGAGTCAGACGAATGGAAGGCATAGCTGGAGAAGGGGCAACAGGTAGGATGGTATTGGGGTCCCGCTTTCTAAGTTTATTTCCTGAAGAATTCCCAATGGAGGTGCTGATGCCGTGCTGGTGCAGGGTGAGCCTGCGGATGCCAGGCAAGGCTGGACTGAGAGTGTGTGGGAGCCGGACCTGTCAGACAAGGACACTCATTCAGCTCAGGTCTCTCCCATCCTTGGTTCCTTGTGGGTTTCCACATGGGCCACCAGAGGCCGGGGGAAGAAGGGCCTTTCTTCCTTTGTCCACCCAGCATCAAGGGGACAAACAGAAGCTGTGTGAGGCCAGAGTGGATAAAGAACTGGGAGAAGAGCCTGGTGACCCTGCCCTGTGTGCTGGGTATGGGCTCGCACATCTCACATGAAGTGGCATGACACCCGGAGGTGTGTCTCATCACCACCACACTCTTAACTGAGAAATAACAAATTGCATACGTTTATCACATACAACATGTTTTGAAGTACGTATATGCTATGAAATTACTGAAATGAGCTTATTAACATATGCATCATCTCACATATTTATTAGCTTAATTCTGTGAACACTTAAAATCTATCTTTTGGTGTCATGCAGGAATACAACGTATTGTTATTAGCCATGGTTACCGTAGTGTACAGTAGAACTCTTGAACACATTTGTCCAATGTAATGAAAATGTTTATTTTGGTTACTATCTCTTCAATGTTCCCCAGTTCCCTCCTCTTTCCAGGCGAGGAAACAGAGGCTTAGCTGGCAGGTGCTAGGGTCCCAACTCAAATCCTCATGCTATCTCCTCAGCTTGCTTCTCTGATGCTTCTGCTCAGGTCCCCTTTCAATGGGGAGGGCACTGTACTGGCACTTTGCGGGTGTATCCCCTAGTGTCATTTCTTTTAAATCTCTTGAGACAGCCGAGAAAAATGCATTGAAAATTAAAGTTTTAGCCTATCACACATGTATTCCCTTCAAAACAAGGTTAGACCCCCCTGACAGCCACTGATTGCATCTGACACCCCTGGGAAATGGTCCTCCATTGAACTTTGGGAACTCCTTTGGGGACCCCTCTGGGTCTCCTGGACCTGGCTGAGGTGCCTGTCACTCTATCATTGCCTGGTCCTAGCTGCTAGATCTGACTGAGCTACTGCTGGGAGTCTGGTACCCACCTGGGACCCAGGGAGGCTCCTCAGCCCCCACCCGGAGGTACCAGTCATGCTGGGATTGGAATCTGCCAGAAGGGCTCAGCTGGGCTTTGGGCCTCTCTGTCTCCTCCAATAATGACTTCCTATAAATCAGATCTGCCCTCCGCTTTGTTCCACACTGCTCCCAGCCAACAGCAGATCTCTCTACCCAGCATCATAAATCCCCCTTCATTTTCTTTCCAAATTTCTGTTAAGGCTTCTTTAATCACCACCTTGCAGCCTAGGCAGATGCTCCTTCAAAGGGTGAGGCCTGAATGAAGGGCCCTGGGTAAAGGGTAGGGCCTAGGTGAGCCCGTGTGCACAGGAAAGGGTGATGGAAAGCTAGGCTCCATTTGCGGAGGGAATGAAGATGCCTATGGGGTGTTGAGATCTGAAGACACAGCCTTCCTGCCTCCATGACAGGTGGGCTGGCTCTCTCAGCTGAGTTTAGCTTGTGGCTCTCAGGAGATGCCCAGCAGAGGACCCTGGTGCCATTCTGTCACAGCCACAGGGCAGGTGTGGGTGTGTGTTGAGACCACAGGCATTCCCCGTGTCGTTTCATTCTTCCAAACGCAGTGAAGGTAGGATCTGTATTGGGAGGGGCCATTGTTTCCTATGGCTGTCTGGGCAGGCAGGCATGGTGCAGGCGGCAGTTTATAAATGACAGCCTGCTCCCTTCTAGCCTTGTTGCTAGTTGGCTGGGTCAAGGTGCCTAGAGACATTCCACAGGGCTTCTCTCTCCTGTGCCAAGCCCTCTGCAGGATGGAAGCCACTTCTTAGCGCTCCCACACACCTCAGGTCCCAGCACTTCCTGGCTCCAAGAGGTCTCTGGTAGTTGGTGAGGTTGGGGCTTGGAGTGTTCAGGGAGTCATCATAAGGGACAGCAGGCTCTCTAATGCCATTACTCAGTCCTGACAGCCCTGGCTCAGACGCCCTCCAGGGGCCCTCAGTCCCCTGAGAGCAGGCATCTCAGCCACTAGATGGCACTGTGACCCAGCAGAGTGGCAGCGGATGCCAGAATCAATAGTGTCTGGAGAGATCTGCCCTCCCCCTCCTCACAGCATAACAACCTGTGTGTGGGTTGTGTGCCATTGGCCACCACTGACTGCAGCCTGCTGTCCTGAGCACCCCAGGCCAGACAGCTGCTTCAGCCTGACAACCTGGGTACACAGTTCAGGGCTTGTCTGCCAATGCATACCCAGTGGGTGAGGGGCCTTCCCTTTACCAGCTTGGGGCTGGATACTCAAGTGGGAGGTCATTAGAAAAGCCAGCTGCTTGTGGTTGGAGATAGGGCCCCAAGTGCTGGTTTCCTAGAAATCTCCTAAGTGACCTTGGGTGAGTCCTTTCTGCCCTCCCTTTGGACCTAATGTGATCCCCTGGCAAATGGGAGGTCCTCCCAGACCACATGGCTGCCCAGGAAAATGGGGGCTGCGTGGCTTGGCTGCACAGGCCTCTGTACCCTGAAGCACATCTGGCCACTGCTTGCTTCTCTCCAGATTGCTTAGGCCTTGCTCATTCTTCCTGGCTTCTCAGACCCCTTCCACTGTTCTGGCGGTGAGCACTGGCTTCCTGCCCAGAGTCTCAGCCACTGGGCTGGGCTCAGCATAGTGACCCTTACATTTGGGGTTCATTCATAGGGCTCAAGGGAGCACTCAGGAACCATTTTCCAGCCAGATGTCCATGTGTCATTAACCGAGTGACAAGTGGGGGTTGCAGGATAGTGTTGGGGGGCTGAGGAAGGCGGGCAGACAGAACAGTAACTTGGTGGGCCAAATTGGTTCTTGCCAGCCAAATGGCTTCTGGAAGACTGCAGAACTGCTCTTATGTGTCCTCTGGGCATGCCAGCTGCCCTGGCCTCGTCCATGCCTCCCCATAAGCTGCTGCCCGCCCCCCTTGGGTTGCCCTGTCCTTCCAGCATGGCCGGCACAGTTGGCCAGGGCTCTCCTCACATCTCTGTTCCTCAGCTGTCTTTGCTTGGCCCCCCCTTCTCCCTCCTGGGTTCCGTGCCAGCCCAGCCAGCGTGAACAATGCCCCTTCATGCTCCAACCTCCTGAATTCTCCCATTCTGTGTGTAATGTACTCTCCCAGTCCTGCCTCCCTTCCATCTCATCATTCTCGAGTGTTTCATCCCCCAGCCCACACCCCTCCCTCTCTTGCAAGATCAAGGCACTTAATTGCCAAGCCAGCCCAGTACACAGAACTGGGAGCTTACTCAGAAAAATTGACTGTAGCAATCTAGGCTGAAGCGCCTCATGTTTATTCTTCTTCCCAGGGCAACATGGTTTATTACTGACACTCAGCCTTTCCGAGGCACGTTCATGACCAGGGCTCTCAGGCACTTTGATGGGGCTTGAGCCACACAAACCACTTTACTGTGTAATCATTTGTCCCCACAAACTTTGTCAGCTAGGTCAGCATTAATCTCTGTCTTTCACAGAGGTGGCAAGTCGGTTGGGCAAGGGAACCATCAACTCCCAGCAGGTCAGGACAACCTTTCCTGGGTGGAACCTGGAGATTTGCTACCAGGAAAGAAGGATGATGCCCACATGATTCCCCGTGCCACTTTCCATCTCCAAGCTTTGAGTGCAGGTTAGCTGCAGCTTAGGTGATGTCTGTAGCATAATTTGGAGCAGACGTATGGGGAAGGCTAGCTAACAGGAAAATTTCTACACTCAACTGCAGGGCGGGTGTGAATGAGACCAAGTTGTTATGCACAGCCCTGGCTTCCTGAGTTTTGGCACTAAAAACAGGAACTGGATGGCTCTGCCATCAACAGCCTATTGGCAGATTATCAGAGTTTAGTCGGCAGCCCTGCTGGAATTAGAAAAACAGCCTTCCCTAGAAAGAGCTCCAGTCAGAAGCTCTGACAATAGGGCCCCCATCCAGAAAGCTGCAGGGGGGAGTGCACCTTCCATAAAAAGTGCCGGAGAGGGTTTGGAATGAGAACCCAATTCTTTGAGCTCAGTTATCCGAGACGGGACCCAGCCGAAGCTTAGGGACTTAAGCGGCAAATTCCTGGCCGCTTATGTGTAAGTAAATAATTTCATCTGCTGTTGGGCAATAAAGAAAGCTTTAAATCTCGGTTCTTGTGATCTGTCAGTTTTCTCTAATGCAATCTGCTCACTCATCACTGGGGTTAGAGCAAGGGAGGGGGCAAGAGGTTCCTGGGACAGGATGGCATGGTGTTCTTTTCATTTCAGTTTCTGGCAAGCCTCTATGCCTGCTGTTTGGTGCCCCTAACCCCCCAAGCTCACACTTGCCAGCATCTCACCTCCCCTTGGAGGGGCAGCATACGTGATGGAGGGGATGATGCCTTCATCCCTGCTCAGGGACTATAAACCTTCCCCGTTCTCTTGGTTGCTGATGAATTAGACACAGCTCTGCAGGGCTCTGGACCCCAGTCCCTCCACCCCACCAACTCTATAAACTCCACATACCTGTGTACTTGCTGACCCCTGCCTCAGCAGCCACATCCCTGAGTGCCAGGATCCCTCGGGACAGGTCACTGGCCTCAGGGTCCATTTCAATAAGTGCGTCAGGCCCCACATCTCCATAGGCATAGTTGGCGATGTAGATAGAGTACCGTCCGGAGCCCTGGGGAGGAATGGAAGGGGGAGGGTATGAGAGGCCCCGTCTTAGTCCTCGCTCCCCGCCAGTTGTCCCCACCCCAGGGATCATAGCTTTGTCATTGGGCTGAAGTCTGTGTGGGCTACAACCCCAAGAGGTGCTCACGACAAGGGAGGTGAATGGTACCCACCTCCCGAGCCAGACGACAAAGCAGCCTTGCTTGTTCTACCCTGTTCCAGAAGAACACATCTCTTCCTCTCCCCCACAACCACCTTTTTATAGACAATTTTCTAATGTGCCTCCCTCCAGCTGAGCTCGCTCCAGCTGCCAGCCAGGGTAGCTGCTCAATAAATATTTGCTGATTGATTGATCTACCAGTTCCCATTATTCTCCGTCTCTCTCTCTCCCATTCAAGCCCACTCCAGCCGAGATGACAAGCAAATTCCAGAGCCTGCTCCCTCTCCTGCAGGAAAGGTACAGATCCGTGAGGTCTTCCATCCTCCTTCCGTTCCTGTCTCCCCACATTACCGGGAAAAGACAGTTCACTGTTTTGGCCTTTATAATACTACCCCCTTTCTTTTTCTTTGCATCTCAGAGAAGCCCCGGGCACTGGCTTCTTCAGTAGCCATTCTCTTCAGTAGTCCAAACCCTGCTGATAAAAGATTCCTTTCTGCCTGTTATTACAATGGTGTTATTTCTCCGGTGGATGCCTCCTTCTTCCCAAGAGATACACACAGTTTCTAAATCTGTTCCCAGCTTCCCTATTATCTTTTCATCACTTCCCTCCAGAAGTTATTCCTCAAGCTCTCACTATTTACAAAGTGTTCTTCGGTAGAGTCTGAACCCGCTGTCCCTGCCCTTAGGTGGCTTAGCGCCTAGTGTGGAAGACCAGCCAGAGAGAACAGCTGAGCCGGAGGTGACAAGCTGATGCTGTCATCCTTGCTGACCTTCTCTGCTCACTTCATTCTCTTGTCCTGAGGCATCGCGGTGTCATGACCAGGACCACACGATCGCTCACTTCATGCCTACTTTGGACCATTTTCTTTGGTGGGGAAGCTGATGCAGAGCCACTCAAGAGTGGGTGACTTGGTGAGTGAGGACAGGGAATGCATGGGCTTAGAGTCTCCGGGGGACACAGAGGTGTCGGAACCACATAAGCGCATGGCAGATGCAGGCACAGGGTTTTCTGGTCACACAGAAGAGAGGCTTGCAGCCTGGCGGCAGGAGCCTCACTATGGGAACTTCAGAAAAGGTTTTCTAAGAGGGGTCCCAGCCAGGGACGTGGAGGGAAAGAACCTTCCAGGCAGAGACGGGAAATGGTGGCTGCACCATGGACGCTGGCTGGGTGTTGCCAGAGACAAACACAAGACAGGAAGTGTTAGATGCAGTTGGAGACTGGGAGGCTGCTGCCTGAAGACTTGGCTGCCCCTTCCCTTTTGGCTATGAGTCTCAGCAGGTTATCTGGTAACCAGGCTCTTTGCAGGTTTCATTACTCAAAGTGGTTCCTGGACCAGGACCCCTGGCGCCATTTGGGAGCCAGTGTTAGAACAACAGAACCTCAGGGCCCACCCCAGACCTGCTTAACAAGAGTCTGTATTTCAGTAAGAGTCCACAGGACACCTAGGCAAAAGGAAAGTATGGGGTGCTTTGCCACCCACTGGTGTCTCGACTGGGGAAAACCTCAGAAGGTTCTCAGTCTTATCCAGCCCAGGAGCTGCATATGCGTATGTGAGTGGTTGCATGAAGCCAGAAAGAAAAAGGGCTAAACGGAGAAACGGAGAAGTGCGTGCACCATGGTGAACCATCTCTGACCCCACCAGCTGCTAGCAAGTCCATCAACAAATGGGCAATTAAGCCCACATGGGCTCAGATGCACTCTGCTACAAATTAGAGGATTTACAAAATTCTAGGATTTACCTAGATTCTTACTTCGGTTCACCTGGGTGATAAAACAGATAGACACAGGCGTGCTATAGTGTAGACAATTGTGGAAACTCACATGTGAGCTTGACCACAACAGTTCTAAGAGAGTGAGATGATACCAGGCATGGGAGGTGTTTCTGGATGCTGGTTCTACACCAGGGCACAGGAGGTGTTTCTGGGGCTCTGGGTCTACACCAGGGCACGGGAGGTGTTTCTGGGGCTCTGGGTCTACACCAGGGCACAGGAGGTGTTTCTGGGGCTCTGGGTCTACACCAGGGCACGGGAGGTGTTTCTGGGGCTCTGGGTCTACACCAGGGCACGGGAGGTGTTTCTGGGGCTCTGGGTCTACACCAGGGCACGGGAGGTGTTTCTGGGGCTCTGGGTCTACACCAGGGCACGGGAGGTGTTTCTGGGGCTCTGGGTCTACACCAGGGCACGGGAGGTGTTTCTGGGGCTCTGGGTCTATACCAGGGCACAGGAAGTATTTATGGATGCTGGTCCAGAGCTAACATCAGCCAACATCACCTGGAGGACTTTTTGCCACAGACTCTGGGTCCCGTTCTCAAAGATGCTGACTCAAGAGGTCTGGAACGGGCCTGGAGGATGTGCGCGTCTAACAGACTTCCAGGTGACGCAGAGGCTGTGGCTCAATGGTACAGTGGTCACCTAGCAGGAATGAGGCCCTGCGTTCAAAGCCCACTAGTACCAGGAAAAGTGAGAGGGAAAGAGATTCCCAGGCTATGTTGCTGCTGCTGACTAGTGACTCCTGATTCTAAAAAGTACCAGTCGGAAGCTATTAGCCCAGACCTGTTCTAGTCTTAGGCCCTGAATGGCTCTTCAGCCTTGGGCACATCCATCAGGGGCTGTAGGCTGCCTCTTGCGTGTGCTAAATGGGGATCAGATTCCTCCGACTTCCTGGCAGGGTGCTTGAGAAGATGAAATGAGACAACATATGTGAAAGGTCTTTGAAAAGATAAAAATGCTATATAAACATGAGGCATAATCATTATTGACCAGGGGATGCTTCTTGTAAGAGAGAACTTTGAGCTTGATCCAGGAAGCTGAGCGTGTGATGAGGCATCCGGAGATGCATGGCAGGAGGATGCTCCAGGTTTGGAGGAGAGCACGAGGAAGGGGTGTGTGGCTGGGTCAGGGACATACTCGCCGCAGCACACATCACAACCTCCTGTAGGTCCCCTGAGCTGAACCACGTCTCTGGGCCTTATCCTGGCATTTCTGACTGAGCCGGTCTGGAGGGATAGAGCAGGCAGGGCCTGTTCATGCTAGTGTATGCACAGAGTCCAGAGGAGGGAGTTGTGGGTCCTGTTTTATCGTCTCCACCATATTCTCCTGGGACAGGATCTCTTACTGACCCTGGTGCTAGGTTGGTGACTGGAAAGTCCCACAGACACTCCTGTCTCTAGCCCCACGGCATTGGGATTACAAGTGCTTGCAGAATCATGCCTGGCTTTTTACAAAGATTCTGGGGATTTGAACTCAGGTCCTTATGTTTTTGCAGCAAGCACCCTTGCCTGCTGAGTCGTCTCGGCAGCCTCTGATAATAGCGGGTATGCCAACAATAGTCTGGGGACCACACCTTCAGAACCACTGACCTGCAAGACCAAACATCCCCAGATGGGGGCTGTGGGGTCAAGCAAAGATGGCTTGAGTGGGGTTTGCGGAAAGCCCGTGGTTAGAAACTGTCTATTATCACTGTACCCAGAGGCAGGGTAGCCGGGGGATGAAGAGGTGTGTGCTGTTTTCAGGCAGGCAGAGTTCAATTCCCAGTTGTGCCCGCCATTTATTGTGTGACCAAGGTCAAGTTATTTAATTGCTCCAAGCCTTCATTTCCATATCTGTAAAAGGTGATAATGGTGGCTTGTGCCTCATGGGCTTATTGTAAAGATTCTAGAAGAGTCCTGTGCCAGGACTCCATGCATGGCTAGTTGTGCAAGCGTGTGCTGCTTTTGTCTTTTGTCCTTTGCCGTTGCTCGTGGGTTTCCTATGCCACACTGCACACTTGTCTTCTAGTTTCCACACTGACCTCGACCTCTCTCGGGTCATTCCTCACAGTTCTTAGGCCCCAGGAGTGGCCACGGTGGTGACTGGACTCAGAAAGGACCTTTTCACCTGGTGGTGACCCACTGAAAGGCTCCCCCCCCCCCCCAGTTCTCCAAGACCTGGGAGGATGTAGTGAGGCCAGGCGGGGAGCAGGCGGCTGCTGAACATCGCCCACTGTGCAGAGGAGGTGCTGGTCCCTTTCCCTTTGCCTCCCACACCGCGCTTCTGTCCTGTGGTTAAAGGCCAGTGTGTGAATGACCTTGCTGGGACACAGAGAGCAGCTCTGTGACTGACCTCCAGCCCCTCCCTCCGGCTCTGGGGGAACTTCTTACTTAGGCCAGTGTGGGAGGCTTAGTCCTGATCAGAGAGGCGGTGGGAAGCAGGGGGAGTGTGGACAAGATCCCCAACTGCGACCAGGCCTGACACCCATGGCCCTCCATGCTCTCAGGGCTGTCCAGACCCGCCTCACTGTCCCCTCCCACCAGGCAGGAGTCCAGGTGGCATGGATTCAGGTCAGGGCTAAATGTGGCTTCACAGCCCAGCTTGGCTTCTCTTCCCAGCACCAGCTTGTTAAGAAATAAATATTTATACCTGGCACCTGCCTTCTCCCGAGGCCTGGAGGCCCCTGCTGCGAATATTCACACTGAATCCCTCTGTGCCATCTCAATCCCAAGCTGGAGCCCACCCCTTCAGCCCCAGAACTGTGGCCAGAGATGCTCTGCAGAGCAGGGCAGCAGCTGGGACTCCGGGGCGGCTCTATCGCTGTAGAGCCAAGCAGGTGGGGGGGGGAGCAGGTGACAGGAGGGACAAATCACTTCCTCATGAGTCTCTATCCCTAGCTCTCCCCACTTCCAATCAGCCAAGCCTCCCCTTGCTTTGGGTTGGACACCTCTGGGTAAGATGTACTAGGAAGGTGTGGATGGAACCATTGATGAAGCAAGGTTCTAGAACATTCAACAGGTAGCCCCATCTTGACCACGTTTGCACTCCCCTGTAACACCTTCAATGTTCTATAGCTATGTACTGGAGGTCACGTAACTCGGTGCCTTCCTCACCAAGGCATTTAATGTTAGTTGGATGAATGATTGAGTACCCCGTGTGGTGCTGGACTTTGTGTCATATCCTACACATGCCGCTGATCTATTCTGGGTCCCCAGCTAAGCCACTGCTCCAAGCTGAGCTTCAGCCCTCCCCTAAGAATCTGATATTCATGATGGTGACACCCCTCATTGCTTCCAAATGGGTCACCAGGAGGGTTGCACAGGAAAAGGATATGAACAATATATTTCCACTCACCCCACAAGCCTTGCTTCTTAGTAATTTGCTTCTATTCTGTGAGGGAATTGGCAGCTACCAAGGTGGGACAGCCCTGGGCTCTGTCCCCAAGGTGGTTGTCACTACTTCACAGGGGATGTCTACCTGACGCGTCCTCTCCTGGCTCTCACATGAAGAGGTCCCTCTGCTTCTTCCCAGGACCCCATGTGCCCCTGCACTCACCGTTCTGTCCACACAGGCCACTGAGCGTCCGGCAAAGAGGCTGGCCACTCCACGGGCCACATTGACGTCATCACTTAGGACATCTTCCCACCGGTTATTACGGAACTTGAACAACTTGTCTGTGTAGGTGGCCACACCTGGAGAGAGGAAGAAAGGATGGTGGGTGACAGTGGGCAGGGGACCACTGTCTCTGTTCCCTGGCATTTGCCATGGCCAGGGTCTGGTGTGGGATGCAAGGGGGCCCTCCGCAGGCAAGACTCCTTTCTTCTTTAGATTGTGAACTTGGTTCTCTCTCAGGAGAGAGGCTCAGGCTGGGGGAGGACAGCGAGGAGCAGTGATTATAAACCCAAGGTTCAGAATCAGTGAGAAAAAGTTCCAGTCTCAGTTCGACCTAGATTCCAGACTCCGGGCAAGGTTTCTCAGCATCCGTAAGCCTCGGTTTTCTTGTCTGTAAATGGGGATGACAGAACCACATTCAAGCTTGCTATGAGGACTGAAGGAGGCTCTGTGCGTGACACACTGGGCAAAATGTCCCGTAAAGGCAGTGGTATTAGGTAGAAACGACGTCCCCATTTTAAGAAAAGCTGCCTTCCCAGACCCTGACTTCACAGGCTTGGTAGTCAGTGATGCTGGGAATGTGGACGTGAAAGCAAGTGTGTTAGAGCAAGTGTTTGAGTCACTGCAAGCATGAGAATGGGTGAGTGTGCAAGACAGGGGTGTGCAAGTGAGAATGAATGTGGGAGTGTCTGGTGGCGCTCTGCATCACCCCTACACCCTCCAAACCCTGCCCAGTCTCAGAAAGTCCTAGAAATGGTGGCTCCTCCCCTGGAGATGCCCCGACCACGCCTGCAGGGTATTTAAACAGCCTCTTAAGGAAAGGCCATGTGGTTTTTCAGGTTCCTCCTCCTTGTCTCCTTTGTGGGGGCTGGGAGACCATCCAGGAGCTTTTCACACATTAAATGTGGACTTTTAAGTCTTAATTCAACTTGGTTTGATTGACTGAGTCGGCGGAGAGGCTTAATATCAGGTACGGAAACCTTTCAGGATGAGCGGGTATGAGTGAAAGTGAGTGTTCGGGATGAGTTTGAGTCAGTGCGAGCATGAGAACACGTGCGGATGAGTGTGTGAGAATGCCCAGGGGTAATGGATGCGTGAGAACACGGGCAAGTGTGTGAGGGCATGTGATGGAGTGCAGATGCATGTGTGAATGCGTGCAGGTGGCAACACTGTGCACACAACCCACCAGGTGGCTCCGGCACACGAACACCCACGTGAGGAACAATGTGAGGAGCAGGGAGGCTGACTAGCACGCGAGCGGGCGTTTTCAGGTGGGGCACTCTGAGGAGTCACAGATACAGGTCTGCACAAAGCGGCTGTGTCTTTAGAGGGACACTGTGGTATGTGTGTGTCTGTGTGCGCATGCACAAGCGTGCGTGCATGTGTGTGTGTGTGTGCATGCGCAAGCATGCGTGTGTGTGTGTGTGTGCATGTGCAAGCATGCGTGCGTGTGTGTGTGTGTGGTCTGAGGTTCTGCAAAGTTCCTTATCCTTTTCCAGCCTCACTTTCCTCATCTGAGAATGACAGGTAGTAACTGTCCTCACTCACAGTGTCACTGTGGCACTTGTGTGAGAAGACACACATGTGGTCTGGTCACAGGTCAGACAGGATGAGAGCACACAGTGCCAGCTTACACCCTGCAGGGACATAGCCCCTTATTGAAATCCCTGGGGAGCCCAATGTGTTTAGAAACCTAGATTCTTCCTTCATCTTCTAGGAAGGAAACATGGTACGAACACTGTTGATTACATAACACCCCCAGCAGGGACTGGGGGCGGCACCCCATAATTAAACACATTAATATTTCTGCCGTGAAACATGAATATTCACATTAAGTGGGATAAATAAAGCTTATAAATAGCTCACATCAGCTCAGGACAGGTTTTGTTGTCTAGTGAATTTTCCAAAAACTTAAAAAAGTGCTGGCGGCTTTCAGAGTGTTCCCGATTTCAGATCTGTGGAAAATGACTTAGGTTGTAGCTGCCATCATTGTATGAGGCAGTAGCAAGCTTGCCGTTGCTTCTAGATGCCCAGGGGCCTCTGAAGATGGCCCCTGCAGGCCTCCAGCCTTCCCTGGCAGAGAGCAACCTTTGTCCATCCTATTCCCATTGGGGCCCACTTAACTCTCTTACCCACTTCCGGAAACGACAGCGAATACAGCCCACCAAAACTGGGGCAGGACAACCCTGGTTTCTGTGAGTAGCCAGGAGCAAGAATTCCACAATCCTCCAAGTGTGGGAAAGATTGCATACCTGCCCAACCTTTGGAGCCTCTCCATAGATATCAACTTATTAAAACTTTAAAAAGATTGCAACAAATCGTCTGCTTAATTATATTGAGCCCAGATGTGCTTGGCCATGGAACCCTTCTTTGGAGACTGCCTATTCAGTAAACTTGCTTTAACTTAGCAGGTTGCCATCTAGGGTGCTGAAGTCTAAGCAGGCTTTGGGCTTAGTGGTCAAGGAGTTTGTGTGTCTTGTCTTGCTGGTCCGTCCCTCTTACTGGTCTCATGGCTTCTGGGCTCACCAGAGACACCCAGAAGAATAAACTAATTAAGGTAAAATGTGCAACAGCGATGTGGAGCCTTGTAGATCATAAATGGGAACGGCAAAATCAATGGCAACCCCTCTGCAGGCAGAGGCCTGGAGGCCTGGGCGACAGGAGGGCTGGGAGCCCGTGATTTAGAGAGAGCAAACGCTCTGGCAGCTGCAACCTGGGTAATTAGGTGTGTCAGGAAGACAGATAAACAGCAAGCTGTGTGGGTCGATGGTATAGGCAATAAACACCCAGCACTGGCCCCTGGCCCGAGTCAGTGCTGAAGTGGCCTTGCCTCCTGGCTCCTTGTAGCTGCACTTTGCCTCAGGACCTCGAAGTGGGCCAGCGCTCACGACAGGAGGGGCTGTCAGAAGCATGGGAAGACAAAAGATGCTCTCCCGAGCCCCAGGAAAACTAGAAGGGTGTGGCCCAGGAAAAGGTTGTCCAGGGGCAGGGAGGGGTCTCTGGAGGGTGGGTGTCATAGAGGTGGGTCTCGGAACTCTTAGGCACAAAGGTTACCACCAAACAGCTGCTGGCTGTTGCACAGCCAGCAGCATTCCTATGTGGAACGATCCTGGTGGAGGCCAGCGCTTGTCCTTCTCTTAGCTATGAAATGGGATAATGGGAATGGCTACCTCCCCATCAGGCTGTTAGGAGCATACGTTAGCTAATGTCTGCAAAGTGCTTCCAATAATACCAGACACAGGGTAATAAGTCCATAAACAATAAGATCATCTCTGTCTACTGCTTCCCCTTCCTCCAGGGAGTTATAGGGCATGACCAGGCCAGTCCTCAACAAACCACATCCCAGGAGGCAACTGTGACATTAAGTTCCAAACGCCTCACAAGACTTAGTCAATGGAGAGCCAGCAGAGCAGTGATGGCCTCAGGGGAGACAGAACTAGTTCAGACAAAGGAAGTGTTTAAAAAGAATGAACTCTGGCTCAAGGGGCCCCTGGTAGAATCCCTGACCTCCTCTTCCTCCCTCTACCCCAGAGTGAAGAGGAAACTCCTCAGGGCTCCTCTGCTAGCACCCTTACCTCCTCCAGATCTCCCCAAGAAGATTCAAGCTACACAGAATAATGGGGGCCCGGGTGTCACCTCCTCTGCCTGAAGCTGCACAGCTGCTGTCAGAGGGCAATGCCCAGCTCCAAACTGGCACGGGTCTCTCACAAGGCTACTGGGAGAAGCTCTGAGTCCTTGGCTAAGGTCACAGTGGTGAACTCTGGGACCCAGCGTTGCGGTGTGCTTGTGGGAGGGGGGCATGTGTAGGTCAGAGGACCTTTTAGGTGTCATCCCTCAGGAGCTGACCACCGTGCTTTTGGTTTCCTCCCGAGACAGGGTCTCTTTCTGGCCTAGGGCATGCCTAGTGGCTAGTCTATCTGACCAGTGAGCCCTGGGGATCTGCTTGTCTCTGCTGTCCCGGTGTTGGGATTAGAAGTGTGCTGAGGTGCCTGACTTATTTATGTGGGTTCTGGGGCCTGAACTCAAACACTCTTACTGATCCATCTCCCCAGTCCCCAATTTTTGTTTTGGAAAACATGGTCTCCTATAGCCCAGGCTACCCTCAAAATTCACTATGTAGCTAAGGATGACTCTGAACTTCTGGTCTTGCTGCTGCCCTCGCAGTGCTGAGACCACAGACGTGTGCACAACACCTGGCTTTTTCCTTACTCTACGCGCCGCTCTGGCAGCCTCTCTCCACTCACGCGGCTTGCTCATCGGCCACATGGGACCGGGCACAATACAGGCTGGCCAGGCAGTGTACAGGTTCCCAACTCATCTTTGAAATGGGGGCAAAGCTGGGACAGCTAAGAGCCAGGACTCTGGATCCAAGGCAAAGTTGCCTGGAGAATCTAGAGAATCCATTTCGGGGCCTGAGAAAAGGGCGGAGACTCAGAAATCAACGAGATGACATACGTTAAATAAAACACACCCCGGGCTTTATGGGGCACAGGAAGCTCCCGGAGATTGCAATCGGTCCCGGGCTAGCAGGTGCCCGGTAAAGCTTGAGAGAACCTGCATGTTTTCTGAGTTTCCAACTGATCCCAAAGCTGCCAGCCCAGCATCATACCATGGGGAGCGAGGTGCAGGGAGGGCCCCTGGGTGCAGCTGGAGCCAGCCTGGCTGAAGGAGCTGCTGGGCAAGGGCGCATCTCTGGAGAGCAGATGGTCCATCTGCTGTGTAGGCAGAGGAGGCTGGAAGTGCAGCCTGCCCAGATCCTCTTCCTTCTCCCTAGTGTGGCAGCTGACACCTTGTGTCCTCTCTGGGAGGTTAGTGTCCCTGCAAAAGGCCCCTCTAGGTGCGGCACAGCCCACAAGCTGCAACGGAAGAGTCAGAAATCTGAGTCTGTAAAAGTGAAAGTTTTCTGCCTTACGAAACCCATATGAACAAAGACCAAAGAGAGGTGACAAACCCGGGAAGTCAACTGTAATGCATGTCTCAGACAAAGGGCTAATTTTCCTAATTTATAAAGAGGTGCTCCAAATCAATAAGAAAAAGACCAATAGTCAATAGGAAAAAAATGGGCAAAGGCTAGGAGAGGACGAGAGAGTCAAATATATAAAAATATTCTCAGCCTCACTCATTTAAGAAAAATGAAAATTAAAACTACACCTGGAAATCAATTCTTCCCTATCAGATTGGCAAATACTGAAAACAAAATTGATGAAACACTGTGTTGGTAAGCCTTGGCAAGCCTTTGCTCATTGCAGGAGTAGTGTGGTAGGCGCTGTACCCAAGGAAGGCAATCTGGCACTCTGAGCTACATGTGTACATTCTTGACACAGCCACTCTGTTTCTGTAAGTTTATCTTACCAGTATCCGTGCAATCATGGGAAATGGAGGATTGTACAAACGCTTATATTTTTGGTTGTGAGCCTAGGCTTTAACGGCGGAGCCATCTCTCCAGCCCGGATTGTACAAACTCATTCATTTGGTGACATTCTTTGTAAGGAGAAAGGAAGTGCCAGCTATCTCAGTGCTCCCCCATCGAGGAGTGATGCCGCTAACGACAAATCTATACACGGGAGTACTATTCAGCCATAAGACAATGTGAGGTCCTTCTGTTGCTGTGAGGTGACATCCAAAATGTATTGAGAATGCAAACAGCAGAACTGTGATCAGGGCCTACTAGAGGGGGAGGTCTATGAGCTGGGGTTTAAAGGAGATTTTAAACATAGGTTTAAAGCATAAGGGTTAAAATGGAGGCCTTCAGAAGAAAAACAAGACACACCCCAAAACATGGCTCTGAACTTTTCAAAGAGGGTCACAGAAAGTGAGGACCGGTGTGGGACCCTCCAGGGAGCTTCTCCAGGAACACAGACTGCAATAGTGCCCTGCACGCAAAAGGCCAGTGCTCATCACTGAGTGGGGGGAAAGAAAATAAGTGCTGGACTTATTACCACCTGCCAGCATGCTACCCCTCAGGGCCAGGGGGTGAAGCCGCCAAGGTGGCTTGGGGCGGGGGGGGGGCCTCTATGGGGAGGAATCTGCCCAAGAGCGGCAGGAGGTCCCGGGCTCCGTGGAGGGAGGTCCCAGGATGCCTCTTGTCCCCTCCTTGTCCTGTGGATGCTTCCCGCACCCTGGCTGGCCCTTTTCCAGTTGAGTTTAGCACACGTGGGTTTCCAGGCCATGGCCTTCTTGGGGGTGTAGCTAGTCCTCCTCTTCTCTTGTTCCCTCTGCAATTCTCAAGCCTAGAGCCAAGCCCAGTTGGGACCCCCGCCTGCCACAGTATCTATCACCCTGTGCTGCTGGGTTGTTTGGCAAATGCAGTGCAAACCAAGTTCTTTTCATCCTTTATGCCAGCTGTCCACTGAAGAGCCTGTATTTGATGCTAAGTGACAGGCGCCTCTTTGGGTTCTGGAGAACGACAATGAGTAAGACAAAGAGGGAGAGCTGGACAGAGCCAGCACACGACCCACTTCCAGACCAGGGTGAGAGGCAGGAAGACAAACAAGCCAGCTAGAGAATAGGGCATAATCTGAGATAAGATGCTGAGAGAGACCTTATGCGAAGAGGGAGCCCTGGGAAAATCAGCAGAAAAAGTGTTCCAGGTGGGAGGCATAGCAAGTCCGAACTCCAGGCAAAGCTGTGGTAAGTGGGAGGAAGGGGGAAAGGCTAGCCCAGCAATTTGGCTGCACCGGGAAGGGTGACAGGTGACCGGAAGGACCTTGAATGCGGTTTGTTGAGCCTCTGGGGGCAGGAGAGTTTGTAAGGTCCGTATGGTTCCTGTCCTACAGTTGAGTGAAGACAGAGGGGTCAAGATCTTGCCTAAGGAAAGTTTTCATGGACTGACTCCCAGAGGGCATTGCAGGGTCGCAGACGTTTCCAGGGACGGCAGTGCTAACATCCTAAAAGCTGGCTGAGGGGGAGACACTGTCAACACCCCAGAGGCCATGTGACTTCACTGGCTGCCTAAAGGTCCTAGAGAAGGTCTCAGAACCGCCGCAGGGGGCAGGGTGGCAATGGCTGCGTGCTGTCGGGGCTGGACACAAGGAAGTGCTGACATGGCACGTCCCTGCTCCGTGCCCAGCCCCTGCCGAATCAATGGATCGCTCAACTACAAAATTAACTCAAACCCACAGAAAGTCATCGGGAGGTGCACACTCGGGGCTGAGGGCGCTGGGCACTGCTGTCCTTGGCTCTGCCCCTCGAGGTGGCCCTGGGGCCTCTTTCCTGGAGCCAGGTCTTCTGGGCTTCAGTGTGGTCTGCCGCCCCCTGACATCTCTTGTAGCTTCCCTCTTCTTAGGTGGTGGCTCGCTCATCTTTTCTTCCCCAGACTTATTTATTCAGTTTCAATTAAGCTCCTGGGATAGTGAAGACCTGGCTGGGGCCGCCGGGAGTCACACGTTAATCAGCAAAGGGGCTTTCTCCCATGGGCCTTAGAGATTAGGGACTGGGAGAGGGCGCCACAGCTGAGAGAAGCTGTGGGCTGTACTGGAAAAGCATAGGCCTCCGGAGGGAGGACTCCTGTGTTCCACACACTGAGGCATCCTCAGTGCCTACAACAGTGCCGGCACGTAGTAGGTGGTCACTAGCAATTTGTCTGGGAAATGAGTACATCAATGGGGACGCTCGCTGTTTGGCTGAACACAGAATTGGCGTGACTCCCAGGGAGTGTCCATCGTCTTGGGCTGCAGTGCAGACGAGAGTTCAGTGTCACCGTCTGGTGATGGGGTCCTATCCTCCTCCCAGCCTGTTTGATTGTGGCAGCTCAGTGGGAGGCTACCACACCCCTCCCCAGGAAACTACAGAGCCTCTGCTCTGGGATTCACAGTGAGCACTGGAGGGCTCTGCCTCAGAGATGGCCCTAGGGTCTTCTCCAGGTGCTTTGGCTCTGGGGACACTGTCCCCTTCTCTGGCGTCCTGCCGGCGGGGTCCAACCAAGGACAGTCATCCCTGTTCTTGCTTCCCAGCGTTCCAGGGGACCTGTCCCTCCTGCGGGCATCCTAGACTCTGCTCTTTTCCTGACCTTGCCCCACATTAAAGAGTTGATCAGCCCATCAATTAATCGCGTCCTAATCCAATCTCGGCTTGGTGGAGAGAGGGCAGTAAATCCAGCTGGGTAATCATGCTCTGATATTTGTGTTGGGATAATTACCATCTCTCAGGCCTCACTCGGTGGCAAGATGAGATGAAAACCCATAAAACACCACTCGGGGCTGGGGCTCATTGTTTCTTGGCGGCACAAGACTGGCTACCAGCCAGCCCGCCCGCCCACCCCAGCCCCTGGCACAGGGCCCCAACCTCTTTACCTCTCATTCATACAACTGGCTGGATTCAAACTCCAGAGGCAGCCTGGGCTGAATGCTGGAGTGAGACAGGCAGCTGGGGAAAGCCTGTGTGTGTTGGTGTGGGGTGTTTTGGACAGGGACCCGAAGCCAGGCACTTTGTAGACTCCCAGACCTTGGGGAGCTCAGGACCCCTTGTTTGTGAAAATCTGAACCACAAATTAGAGCAAGAGTCTGCTGCTATCTGGAAGGGCCCTGTGCATACCCAACCTCGCCTCCAGGGGGTGCTGTGGTAGTGGCATGGGCTTACTAGTGAGTATGGTTTAGGTCTGAGAAAATGTGGGTCAGGGGTAGGGGTGATCTGCAGCCCCAAGAATACAGCCTCTAACTTCTGAGATGCTGCGTGTCCACTACAGCCAGGCTCCCTGGGGACAGAGGGTTGAGAAGACCTGTAGCATGTCTTGATGCCAAGGATAGGTTGGGGTGGGACCCTGGGTTTGAACCCAGGGACATGAAGGCTACCAGGTTTGGATGAGTGAACCAACTCCTTAGCACCCAGTTTCTTCAATGTAAAACTACTAATTCCTTTCCAAGTGGAGTGCTGTGAGCTGCCTGAGCTAAAGCTCTGAGGGTTGGGGGGTCAGGCTTGGTACACAGAGGTGTGCTTTATATTAGCCACCACTAGGCTGACAGGCATCGGTTTCTCTGTAGTCTCTGGGTCATCTGCACCCGGTAGCCCAGGAGCAGTCAGGAGCAGTCAGGAGCAGTCAGGAGCATCCCCAGATCGATGAACCAGAATGCACTGACGTAGACCCTCAGGTAACATGTACGCGCGTGGCAGTGTGGAAAGAGCTGCAGGAGGCTCTGAGAACTCAAGGTCAGCCTCCTCAGAGCCGCCTCCCCATCACTGCCCTGACACCCAGAGGCTCTGTCTGGCACATAGGAATCTGTGGGAGAAATCCTTGCACTAGTCTAAAGGCTGAGGAGGCAAATTCTAGGACTGCAAGGCATTTGAGAAAGGCCTAGGGCGTCATGGGAATGACCCAGGGACATCTGTTGACTTCAGAAGTGGCCTAGGGGAGTGGGCATGAGCTGGAGGACCACATAAAAGTGGAGGGATGGTAGAAGGGGAGGAGGGATGAAGAGGAGGAGGGGAGAGGGATGGAGGGAGGTGTCTCAGGCTGCAGGAGAAAGGGATGTCCAGTCTGAGGGAGAAGACTGTCTTTTTCATGCCCCTCTGTCCCTGTCCAGGGTCCCAAGGATGAAAACCCAAGCTGGATCACAGGAGATGAAGGGTCACCCTGGGGTTTCTGCCCAGCACGGGGAGATCCTGAGAAAGGGCTGTCAGAGGAGGGAAGAGGACTGACAACCTGACCCTCACCTGAGAAGGCGTTATTGGTGTTGAGAAAGTAGATCTCCTCACGGCCATCCCCATCGATGTCACAGGCTGTGACCCCAATGGCGTTCCCCTGCCGGTCCCTCAGCGCGTAGTAGGGTGAGCTGCGCTCATCCACTGCAATGTTCACTAGCTGCTTCTGGGCTCGATTGTACTTCAAAACCAGGTTGGGGCCATTGTACCTGGAGAAGGAACAGGGAGAGGGTTTGAGGGTGAGCAGTGGTCCACTCAGCTAACTGGAGCAGGGCAATGGGCTCAAAGCCCACTGTACCTCAGAGAGAAACCGAGGCTAGAGAAAAATGGCCTTGTAGAACACAACTCAAGGAGCAGGTTGGTTGAGGGGATAACCCCTGAACTAAGGGCCTGACCGAAGAAAAGATCTCCCTGGCATTTACTTTGTCCATTTCAATGTAAAAGGCGACTTCCCACCGATGGCCTCAGGAACTTAAACAACGCCATCTAAGAAAAAAAAACCAGGTGAGACTGGCATGGGCGGCCATGGTGCTTGTCACTTCACAGAGGAGAAATAGATGAGGACTGCCGGAAAAGTTAGAGCCCTGAGAGCCTGGGTGCACTTCCTGAGGGCAAGTGGTATCAGGTTTGCCTGACCAGGGAGGGCGCTTGAGCACAGGCATCCTCCTGCTCTCCCAGGAGGCCCAGTCCCCGCAGAAGCCTGTGTCACTGAGACCCTGTCCCCGCAGAAGCCTGTGTCACTGAGACCCTGTCCCCGCAGAAGCCTGTGTCACTGAGACCCTGTCCCCGCAGAAGCCTGTGTCACGGAGACCCTGTCCCCGCAGAAGCCTGTGTCACTGAGTCGAGACAACTGTCTGCTAGTAGGAAACACCCGCTCTACAGCACCTGGGATGAGAGACTACCAGTGCGCCTGGGGATCGATTACCAGGCAAACCTGCCCCATCTCCTTTCTAGGGAATTGGGACAAAAGTCGAAACTACCTGTCTCCTCTGAACCCAGGTGGCCTCCTTGCCACACCAAAGCCCCAGACCTGTGTCTGTTTTAGGGACTTTGTCCTTGCTGTACCCTCCTGTGGGAAGCTGGTCTAGCAGCCACCCGATGGCTCCCTCCCCCACTGCCATTGGGACCTGCTTTTATCTGTGCTTCAGCCCTCTTTCTGTTTCTCGGCTGTCCCCATCTAGTCCCATGGCTCTGCCACACTGTCTTCTTGTTCCTCTTTCCCTGCTCTCTCTGCTTCCCCTGGAATGCTGGCTCCACCAGCATAGAGCCTTTCCTCCACGTTGCGCTCAAGGACCTCGAACAGCAGCTGGCACACAGTAGGTGCTCAGTAAATATTTATTGAGTGAAGTCTCTGAGCTCACGCTCAAGTCCTGTGGGCTCAAGTGGCCCATAGTCAGTGTCTTCCCACCAACTTTCCAACTGGAGAAATTGAGGGTACCCAAGATGTTCCCAGGCAGCAGGCCTCCTGCCCCCAGCAGAGTTCCCTGTCAGGATCTCCAGAGAAACCCACATACCGCGTTCACCGGGGCCTGCAGGCTGACCCGTGTTTGCAGCTGAGTGCCCTCACCATGAGCAAGTGCTGTGCTGGCTTAGATGACCCAGGGAGGACAGACAGATCACCTAGGGAGAAATCTCTTAGTACTGAAACAGATCCAACCTGGCCTTCTCCTTTGTCACCAGAAGCCAGCGAAGTCTAGGGATGCTGGTGGCTGGCCAAGAGCCTTCTGGACCCACAGAGTGAAAGGGGAGACGGAGCTCATGGGGGCTGAGTCAGCATCCGGTGATGGGAGGGTGCGCCTTGGACACCTTGATGAAGTGTGTCTGAGAGCTGAGCATCAAGGGCGCAGTGCTACCTTTAAAGGCATGGCAGGGTAGCAGAGACAGAAAGAATACTTGGGTTCCAGCATCGTCAGCAGCTGGCTGCAACCCCCAGCGATGTGACTTTGAGTGTTAAATTCTAGTCCTGAAAGTCCCAGGCCCTCCGCATGCTCTTCTGTCACACCGTGCCTGCCTTAGCAGACCATGGTGCTCATCGGGTGTCGGCCTCGCTAAGAGCACTGTCGTTCATTGTCTTGCTCGAGCCCCCACAACCCCGATTGAAAAAGGTGGGGCACCTTTCTGAAAAAGAAACTAAGGATCAGAGAGGCCAAGTGGGGTCCAAGGCCACACAGTCTGTAAGTAGCCGCTGGGCTTCTCTCTTCGGGGCAGGAATTCTATGCCCTTTCCCTGCTGCCTATGATGCCACCGCTCGTCCTGTGAGTGTTTATTTCTCTGGTCGCTTCCCCCAAAGTGGTGGCTCTGAGGAATGTACATGAACTCTGCATAAGTGGTGGAGGTGACAAGAACCATGCATTGCAACAGGACTTTACATAGTTTGCAAAGTGATTTCTGCTCTGTGATCTCTGCTTCATAGAGGTCCTAGCTCTGCTGTAGTTAGGGTGGTGGCTTGGTCTCTAGACTCCGCTGTTCTCTTCTGTTGGATGCAAGTGGACCAAATGAAGAAATCCTGAGTGTGACCCTGGGGGCGTGTGTGTAGACCTGCCCTCTCTCATTAAACCAGAGCACTTCTATGTATAAGGTTTCTATCTTACACTTCGCCTTGCCGAATACGGTGAGTAAGTGATCCCCAAGCTGGATCCCCAGGGGTCTGACTAAGCTTACAAGATGGGCAAAACCTGTGTCCTTCTCCCAGTATGTGTTAGGGGAGTCTGCACATAATGTCCAGCACTGATACCCTCTTTACCCGATGCCTGTTGGGTATCCCAGATGTTTGCCATGCCCTGGAACCACTCAGCAGGAGGGGAGGGAATGTGGCCTCCCACATTGTCCTGCATCTCGGTGGCTGGTGTGGGCACAAGCTCCCTGACCCTATGAAGTGGCCCTGGCACATCTCTTTTGGGAGGTCATGGTGTGCTAGTCTCAGGGTGCTGCCTGTGGGGATGTGGGGAGAAGTCGATGGGCTGGGTCAGTCTTGATTGGTCACACAGTCGGCACACAAGGACCTCCCCAACCTGCATGGGCATGGGCAGAGGTCTGGGAGTCTGGTCACACCTCCCCAGGGATTACAGACATGAAAGACGTGAAGTCTGTTCTGAGGTGAGGCTCTGAACACTGTCAGGGCAAGGCTGGGTTGGGGCAGTGCTCCCAGTGGCCGCCTTTCTCACCATCAGGCTACCCTGGGCTGGCCCTACACCACCGACAGCTGTTGTTCCCAGCCCCCCACCACTGAGAAATCACCCACCGTTCAGCTTGCTTCCTCACTTGCCCCTGAAGATGCTCTGCCCTTTCCAGCTGCGCCCGAGTCTTTGTTCAGCTGTGGCCACTTGTTCCGTGGGGAATGTTCTCCCCATCCCTCCCGGCCCCTTCCTGTGAGGAGTCTGCCCCACCTGCCAGACTAGATGTGACCTTCTCTCTTCCAGATACCCTGCAGTGTCTCGCCTTGGCTGGCTCTTGAGAGGGCAGAGGTGTCTGTTGCCCGCCCCTCCCCTCATTAAGTGTGTACTGCTGGAGTCCAGACGGCCTAGAGCAAGCTGCAGCAGAGGGTGCTCCCAAACACAGCACAGGGATAAGGGTTAGGGGAGAGCAGGTGGAGGGGTGGGGTCGGGATGGAAGGAGAGCAGGTAGAGGTGAGGAGTGAGAGATGAAGAGTGAAGGAATGAGAGATGGGGGCGTGAGGGTGAACGTGACGGTGCGTGTGGGTATAAGGGTGGTGAGTGGGGTAAGGAGTGGAGATGAAGGGTCAGGATGGGACAGGGTGGGGTAAGAGGAGGGAAGAGTGTGGAGAGAGGATATGTTTAAGTGAGAGTGTGTTTGTGGGTTAGGGTGTGAAGGTGTGCGTATATGGGGGTGCGGGTATGAGAGTATGTGCAGAGATGAGGGGGTGAGAGGAACGAACATATCGGGCTTTCCGGGGCAGACTTCAGAGCACAGTCTTCATTTGCAAATTCTGTGCCAAGCACTTTTAAGTCCCACGTCATCTTCATGATAACCCAGGCTGATGGTCCTATTAGCAACCCCATTTTATTGATGTGAACGCTAGAGCACAGCAGCGATGTGACTCAGCCACAGTCCTGTGGTGTCAGTCTCCACCCTGAGGAGCCTGGGCAAAACGTGGAGGTCCCGTGCTTCCTTTCTCTGACACTTGATGCAGAGAACCGGGTATCTGTAGAAGTCCAAGGGGTTTTGAAGCACAGTTAAATGGGGCCAGGAAAGGCAGCAATGGTGTCTAACATCAGCGGGTGTGCCAGCCATGCTTGGACCAACAGAGCCCTGGGGGTGCACCCTGACCTTGAGCTTGTCACTCAGTTCCTCTGAGTTTTCAGCCCCCTCATCTGTAGCTCAGTGCTGCTCACACCTCAAAGGACAGCCTTGAGGAGTGTCAGAGTGTGTGTGACAACACTTGGTAAACTGTGAACTGTTACACAATTGTAAGCTCACATCACTTAAAAAAATCACAACAAACACGAGGCGGGCCTTTCACTTCCGAGTGATCAAGTAGCTGGTTTCCAAACACGCTACTATTTCTCATTCCCAGACATCCCTCCTTTGGCTGTTCTGCCTCTGTAGGTAGATTTCTTTATGGATTCCCCCGTATAGTCACATTTCTCAAAAGAGCTGTCTTTAGAAGTGGTCTCTACTTTCCCATCATGTACTTCATCTTCCCATCCAACCTTGGTCCATAAAGCTGCTCTAGTCACGGGTAGCTCCCATGTGGCCAGAGGGAGGGAGGCCCTGTCTGTTCTCACCACCTGTGGCCTCTTGATGAGGGTTGTACTGTGGTCACCACCTCCTCACCCTGCAATTGCCCTCCACTCCCCAAAGGTCAGCCCCTCAATGTCTTATCTTCTCTCTCCAGCTTCCTCTCCTTCCCCCCACCGCTGGATACCTCTCCCTATTCCTACCCTCTGATTGCTGGAGTCTCCAGGCCTGGCCTTCTGTTCTCGTCTCCTCTTTCTCCTTTTTCTAGCTGATCATATCAATTCCCATGACTGACAACCCCTGAATTCACATCTCCAGTTCAGGCTCAGACTCATCTATTCGACTGCCTACCCGACACGCGCCCAAGATGGAACATGCCCAAAATGGAACTATTGATTGTTCCTTGTCTCCCTCCCCCAAATGGGCACTCAGGCACTAAAACCAGAGACCTGGCACTCGCCTCAGAACTCCCCCTTCGTCGTGCCATCTCAGCCATCAGCCTGTCTCGTTT